AGCGAAGTCTATTGGTTAAATATATACTAGGCGTTTTGATTTATTCTGTGCAATTTATTCTCTGACCCCATGACAGAATGGAATGGACTGACATCGTGCCACCAGGCATTAATTAGACTTTGGAAGATGCGATAAATGTTTCCAATCAAAGGAACATATGATATTCAACTCAAAATGAGTTCGGTGTGCTCTGAAAAGGTGTGTCAGTGACCAATTCCATAAAGAGTGAGTGGGCGAGTTTAGTTTTACGCCGCACTCAGCAATATTCCAGCGATATGGCGGCGGTCTTTAAATAATCGAGTCTGGACCAGACAATCCAGTGATCAACAGCATGAGCATCGATCTGCGCAACTGGTAACCGATGACATGTGTCAACCAAGTCGGCGAGTCTGACCACCCAATCTCGTTAGTCGCCTCTTACGACAAGCATGGGTTACTGAAGATCAATATTCTAACCCGGATGACTGAAAGCAGTATTACAAGACAGAAATCACTTCCGTCTTAACGTCAGAGAGGCTTTGGAGAAAAAGGTCCAATCCTGGTGTCATAAAGAAAATATGGAAGGAAATGGATGGACAGTTTAAAACTCTACACTAACAGGTCACTGTTAGTGACGACTGGTATGCATGAAATGGTTGATACCAAGCTACACAACCAATATATTACGGTAATATCCTCAATGGGAGTTTGGTCTGTCGGTGATATTACATAGTCTTTGAGACTGTTCTGTGGCTTGAAACGTAATTGGCTCACCACGTGAGGGATGGACTGCAAGCAGTTTCTATACCACGCGAAAACCCATTGCACAAGGATATGTTATAACAAAGGTGGCACGGGGTTAACTTGTTTTTCGAAAGGAAAGTGGACATTTTGATGGAATAAGCGTGTTTACTTTAACGTGTTCATGTATTTGAGTAGGCCTACTGATACAATTGATTCCAAGTAACCGAGTCTTGCGCCAGAGACACTGGTAGTTGACGGTGTGGGTTCGGGTTATGATGACATGCCATTTGCCAGACGACACCTCCCCGTTAGTAATGCAGCTCCGAGGTACAGTGGGTAGAGTGCCTGTCCGGGCAGATGAAGTCAGGTTCGGTCCTCTGTCAAGATCATACCAAAAGTTCACTAAATTTTTTTCACCTTGTTACACTTCCGAGTTTGGCTTTTGGGAAGAGAACATGGACTATTCGGTTCAGAGTGAGTATGCTGTGTATGAGCGGAGTATCCATATAAATTACCGCATGGTATCTCAGCGGGCCGTGTCGGGGCTAGCACATGTACAAGCAACTACACACAAGCACAGGCACGTCGTTTTGAATTGCAATACTCGTGAAGGCGACGCTAAATACAGGGGTAATAATTTTTGAAAATACACATCTAGACTTTTGCAGTCGTATATTGTTTTTATGCGTTATGATTAACCTATATTTCATCTTTGAACGAGATCGGTGAAGAAATGAATTTTTAAGAACATTCCACCTCTACACTCGTTCGCTTGTCACGCCGAAGGCCGGGTTCGATTCCCCACATGAATACGCTCTGTGAAGCTCATTTCTGGTTCCCCCGTTATGATATTGCTAAAAGCCGCGTAAAAGCTAACTCACTCACTCAAACAATTAGAATCAGTGGGTACGAGGCGGGTATGTATCCGCGAAATCCTAGGGGAGACGTTTTCTACAGAATGATTGCAAATAATTTGACTTAATTTGATTTTTCAGACGGATGTGCCGATGACTGTCTGACGAAGTTGCTCCGGAGGTTCGAGGAACGCCTTCATCGTCTGCACGAGGTCATTTGTAAGCTAGAGAAACTGGCCAGTAAAAAGTGTCCTCGCACGTTCTGGACTGACGCACCAACGATTACCCCTGATAGTAAGTATACCGACGTGTACAGACACAGACAAACATACAGACAGACAGACAGAGATGTAAAGAGTTGTAGACAGAAAGATAGACACTCACACACACACACACACACAGAGAGAAAGGAGAGAGAGAGAGAGAGAGAGAGAGAGATACAGAAAGACAAGCTGGTTTCCTGGTTCCTATACTCGTGGCCATCTTGTAAAATAGGAGACGGGGGTCCAGCTTTAAAAGACAGACATGTGCGCGCGCGCACGCATGCGTACAATTTAGTGTCGCTTGTGATCAGGGCTCTTCCCACTGTAAGTTCGGGACTTAAAAGGTAAAGTCACTTTGTGAATATTTCACCAAAATCTAACCAATCGTCACTCTGTGAAGTAAATAAGTGCCCTCTATACTCTTCAAGGGTTACAGCGTGAAATCGAATGAACACTGATGGAATGACCGGGTAACAATTATGTAACGACATGAGCATGCACTAGCGGAGCATTAGTACTAGCAGCTGTAGTCAGTACTACCAGAGACCATATAATAGATCTATTATATGGTCTCTGGTACTACTTGTTGTAGAATCAGCAGTCGTAAAGACGGAATTATGTTCTTTATGTTTCATTTTACCTCCAGGGGTAATATCGAATACACCAAGAGTCGTTTTGTCACCCGCCATCGCTGGCGCAGACGCTGGTGGCGTTGGCGTAGTGGTTGCCACCAATGGGCACATCTTCCGTGATTCAACCTTCGAAGTTGATGTCGGGAAAACTCTTCTTGCAATCTCCTACGACCGTGTGTCCAACAGCCTGTATTCTCTTGAGGAAGCTGATGATAAATCCGTTACAATTGTCCGTAGAGATGTGGATGGTAGCATTCAGGCAGTTGTAAGTACCTACACTGGTAAGTAACGAGTGCGGAGATCGTTGGGGACAGAGACATCAGAGTGGTGTCTGTTACTAACAGGTACATGTGTTATCACTCAGGTGGGAGGGGAGAGAGAAGTCAATGTAGCGTCTGTAACTAGTAGGTACGTGTGTTATCACTCAGGTGGGAGGGGAAGGAGACGTCAATGTAGCGTCTGTAACTAGTAGGTACGTGTGTTATCACTCAGGTGGGAGGGGAGAGACATCAATGTAGCGTCTGTAACTAGTAGGTACGTGTGTTATCACTCAGGTGGGAGGGGAGAGAGACATCAATGTAGCGTCTGTAACTAGTAGGTACGTGTGTTATCACTCAGGTGGGAGGGGAGAGAGACGTCAATGTAGCATCTGTAACTAGTAGGTACGTGTGTTATCACTCAGGTGGGAGAGAGAGACGTCAATGTAGCGTCTGTAACTAGTAGGTACGTGTGTTATCACTCAGGTGGGAGGGGAGAGACATCAATGTAGCGTCTGTAACTAGTAGGTACGTGTGTTATCACCAGGTGGGAGGGAGAGACGTCAATGTAGCATCTGTAACTAGTAGGTACGTGTGTTATCACTCAGGTGGGAGGGGAGAGAGACGTCAATGTAGCGTCTGTAACTAGTAGGTACGTGTGTTATCACTCAGGTGGGAGGGGAGAGACGTCAATGTAGCGTCTGTAACTAGTAGGTACGTGTGTTATCACTCAGGTGGGAGGAGAGAGACATCAATGTAGCGTCTGTAACTAGTAGGTACGTGTGTTATCACTCAGGTGGGAGGGGAGAGACGTCAATGTAGCGTCTGTAACTAGTAGGTACGTGTGTTATCACTCAGGTGGGAGGGGAGAGACGTCAATGTAGCGTCTGTAACTAGTAGGTACGTGTGTTATCACTCAGGTGGGAGGGGAGAGAGACGTCAATGTAGCGTCTGTAACTAGTAGGTACGTGTGTTATCCCTCAGGTGGGAGGGGAGAGAGACATCAATGTAGCGTCTGTAACTAGTCAGTACGTGTGTTATCACTCAGGTGGGAGGGGAGAGAGACGTCAATGTAGCGTCTGTAACTAGTAGGTACGTGTGTTATCACTCAGGTGGGAGGGGAGAGAGACGTCAATGTAGCGTCTGTAACTAGTAGGTACGTGTGTTATCACTCAGGTGGGGGGGAGAGACGTCAATGTAGCGTCTGTAACCAGTAGGTACGTGTGTTATCACTCAGGTGGGAGGAGAGAGACGTCAATGTAGCGTCTGTAACTAGTAGGTACGTGTGTTATCACTCAGGTGGGAGGAGAGACATCAATGTAGCGTCTGTAACTAGTAGGTACGTGTGTTATCACTCAGGTGGGAGGAGGGAGACGTCAATGTAGCGTCTGTAACTAGTAGGTACGTGTGTTATCACTCAGGTGGGAGGAGAGACGTCAATGTAGCGTCTGTAACTAGTAGGTACGTATGTTATCACCATGTGGGAGGGAGAGAGACGTCAATGTAGCGTCTGTAACTAGTAGGTACGTGTGTTATCACTCAGGTGGGAGGGGAGAGAGACGTCAATGTAGCGTCTGTAACTAGTAGGTACGTGTGTTATCACTCAGGTGGGAGGAGAGAGACATCAATGTAGCGTCTGTAACTAGTAGGTACGTGTGTTATCACTCAGGTGGGAGGGGAGAGAGACGTCAATGTAGCGTCTGTAACTAGTAGGTACGTGTGTTATCACTCAGGTGGGAGGGGAGGGAGACATCAATGTAGCGTCTGTAACTAGTAGGTACGTGTGTTATCACTCAGGTGGGAGGGGAGAGAGACATCAATGTAGCGTCTGTAACTAGTAGGTACGTGTGTTATCACTCAGGTGGGAGGGGAGAGACATCAATGTAACAAAATGAGAGTCTCAGACACTTTAATATTATTATTGATACTATGTTGTAATGTTGTTCTTATTCAGTTACTGTTATTGTATATATTTTGTATCATGATCATCATATTGTTACAGTAATCAAATTTCAAATGATACCATAACCTGGCTAGTAGCAGATTCAGTTATCAACTTATTGTTACTTGATCGAAACTGTTACAAAAAGTATTTGGGCATTTTCTGCGTTCGTTGTCAATATATATGGGTATAGGACGCAGGAATTCAGGTCCTGTAAATCCTTGCTCAGGTGGGAGGGGAGAGACGTCAATGTAGTGTCTGTAAAACATACGTGGCAGACGTGTACGCAGTTAATATTCGACCTTGACCCTGCGTGTTTAAGCTCAACACGTTCCAGCTGATCTGACGTTTGACAACAGTGGAGTAATGTACGTCCTTCTCACCGAGGAGATATCCACCTACTTCGAGCAGATCGAAAATATCACAACTTCTCCCGTCGTTACAAACATGGGCGCTTCCCTTGGTCATGGCAGACGACTCTCGATTGATTCTGCCAACAGGTAATTAGGACGTGCTCGTCGTGGTGCATTTGGAGCACTGGGCCCCGTTTCACAAAGCTCTCGTAAGCCTAAGATCTCGTAACTTTTCTCGTAGCAGTCGTATCTCCTATGTTACAGTATAGGAGATACGACTGCTACGAGAAAAGTTACGAGATCTTAGGCTTACGAGAGCTTTGTGAAACGGGGCCCTGGGGTATAACGCGAGTGAGTGAGTGAGTGAATGAAGTTTAAACCAATTTCTGTTTCTGGATAAATTAATGTGACGATAACGGTTATGCTATTTATGTCTCCTTGCACAGCAGGGAGTGACTTCCGTTTGAAGAGTTGTGGTTTTCGGGGTGGTGAAAAGGTATTGGGAAAGTAAAGCATAACACAGTCTGGTGAATGAGCCGCTTTGAACTGTAATCCATTTATGTCATGGAATGTCAGTTTAATATGGGAGGAAAACCCGAAGCAATGCATGTACCAGGCGTCTACCTACCATGTTGGTGAAACTCACGTGTAAGTGTTTGCTGACAAACCTAAACCGATAATCAATTGGCTGATCGGTGTGAATAGGGACTCGAACCCACGTTTCTCACCCCGAATAGCGGCATCTTAGGTGACTAAGCCACCCAACTCCTAACACAGAAGGGTAAGACAACCACAATAATACAAGAGGGGCAACGGACAATTAAACACATGACAATCAAGATATAAAACGTTAACATGAAATCTATTGAAGGTTAATATACTACACCTCGTCTGCGGGCGTCAGCGTGTTCGACATCAGCGCTAACACACACACCGAGATCAGCGACGCCAATAATGCTTTCGGAATCGGTTATGACGCCATGGGTAAGCTCCCGATTGTTATTACTGAATGGTAATGGTGAATCGATGTTGCATAGCTCACGATACAACACATCGATTAACATCTCATGTATCGCAATACATACAACTGATTACAATACGCTTTATTTTGATGTAGAAATGTGAATAATAACAGAAACTAATGCCTTTCAAGAACTGTTCAAGAACCAGTTATGTAGATTCTCCACAATTTTCTTATTGGCTATGAATAGCAGAATCTATACAGTGCCCCCTAGCCGAGAGCCGCGATGCGGTCTAGTCAAGCATCGCGGCTCTCGGCTAAGTGCCCCCAAGCTTATACGTTTCTCCTCTTCAGTATCTCATTTTTGCAGTGTGAAATTTAACCGTCAGTGATGTATTTAATACGGGTATCTTGGCCTTCTTTTGGACCGTGTTAGTTTTGCAGCGTTACGGCGACTATTTTGATATCATCAGCATTATAATTGCGGCACCGGAAGTGATGCTAGTTTTGACGTTTACCACTTTAATGAAACGAAGAATATAAGATTGTTAATCAGGCTCAAAGCATCCACTGATCCATATCCTTTCTGTATTGGCCCTTTGACTTTGTACTGAACCTTACGCTTCTCTTCACGTGCTGCAGACAACAAGGCAGTGTACTGCTTCGGCGACAGTGGTGACCTCGTTGTCTACAACCCGGCAAATCAGACATCAAGTACGACATCACGTGGAGGATCCGGCTGCTCCGACCTCGCTGTAAGCTCTTCATTCCCAAATGCTCAGGTCGCTGGAGTAAGCAACGTCTTTGTCTACATAACCGCTAACGATCAAAAGTAAGTCAACTTTTAGTTCAAGCTGGTCATCAAGCGTTGCTTCACGCTTAAAGGTAACTTACACCATCATTATAAACATACGGGATTATATATACAATTCCTTACAGGTGGATATAACCGGGAACTCAACATAAGATGTTACATAGGCTCATTGTTTAACACAGGGGATGACCTAAATTACATGGTACTCCTTCATCACGTCACACCTGTATACTCCTTACTCCTTCACACCTGTATACAGGTCCTTCATCATCACACCTGCCTATTCATCCGTCACATCCTTACTCTTCATCATCACCTGTTCCAACACCTGTATATCTTACTTACTCATCATCGTCATATCCTCCTCATCACCTGTCACACCTCACGTCCACACCTGTATACCCCTCCTTCATCACATCATCCTTACTCCTTCATCACGTCACACCTGTATATCCTTACTCCTTCATACATCCCTTCATCACGTCACACCTGTATATCCTTACTCCTTCATCCATCATCCCTGTATATCCCATTCCTTCATCACGTCACACCCTACTCCTTCATATGTCACACCTGTATATCCTTACTCCTTCATTCATCATCACGTCACACCTGTATACCCTTACTTCCTTCATCGTCACACCTGTACCCACACCTGTATACCCTGTATATTTACTCCTTCATCACGTCACACCTGTATATCCTTACTCCTTCATCACGTCACACCTGTATACCCTTCATCACTCCCTCATCACTTCACACACCTGTATATACCCTCATACTCACACCTTCATCCTACTCCATCATCGTCACACCTGTATATCCTCCGTCCTTCCTTCACGTCATCACTCCCTGTATATCCTTACTCCTTCATCACGTCACACCTGTATACCCTTACTCCTTCATCATACCCTTCATCACGCCACACATGTATCTCTTACTGTCATCATGTCACACCTGTATTCACGTCACACCTGTATATCCTTCATCACGCCACACCTGTATACCCTTCATCACGTCACACCTGTATACCCTTACTCCTTCATCATCACGTCTTATCACCTGTATATACTCATCACGTACTCCTTCATCACGTCACACCTGTATACCCTTTACTCCTTCATCACGTCACACCTGTATACCCTTACCCACTCCTTCATCACGTCACACCTGTATTCATCACGCCACAGCTGTATACCTTATACCTCCTTCATCACTTCTTCATCACCTGTATACCCTTACCCTTACTTCATCCACATCACATCACCTGTATACCCTTACTCCTTCATCACGTCACACCTGTATATCCTTACTCCTTCATCACGTCACACCTGTATATCCTTACTCCTTCATCACGTCACACCTGTATACCCTTACTCCTTCATCACGTCACACCTGTATACCCTTACTACTCCTTCATCACGTCACACCTGTATACCCTTACATCCTCACATGTATATCACACCTGTCATCACTGTATACCCTTACTCCTTCATCACGTCACACCTGTATACTCCTTCCTTCATCACGTCACACCTGTATATACCCTTACTTCCTCCTTCATCACGTCACACCTGTATACCCTTCATACTCCTTCATCACGTCACACCTGTATACCCTTCACGTCACAACTGCATACTCCTTCATCACCGTATCACACCTGTATACACCCTTACCCTTACTCCTTCTCCTTCATCTTACTCCTTCACACCTGTATCATCTCCTTCCTGTATGTATCACACCTGTATCCTCCTTCATCACGTCACACCTGTATACCCTTACTCCTTCATCACGTCACACCTGTATGCCCTTACTCCTTCCAGTCATCCTTCATCACGTCACACCTGTATACCCTTACTCCCTTCATCACGTCACACCTGTATACCCTTACTCCTTCATCACGTCACACCTGTATACCCTTACTCCTTCATCACGTCACACCTGTATACCCTTACTCCTTCATCACGTCACACCTGTATATCCTTACTCCTTCATCACGTCACACCTGTATACCCTTACTCCCTCATCACGTCACACCTGTATATCCTCTTGAATTCCTTCTACTCCTTCAGGCACAGGTGTTAGTACTTGCTGGGGCTGCACAATTTGATCACCCACACCCCACTAAGCGGTCATGATTTTAAAATCCCGTTCTTTCTTTCAGCCAAGTGTTTGTGTCCCGCCTTGACGGAGACACCGGTGTACCCCAAATGACCAACGTCTTCAACACCGGCAGCACCATAACTTCCATCACCCTCGTGTAACTGCCGGATGCCAACAGACGTTCTCCGACCGATGCAGGGACATGGCCCAACACACTAAACACAATCAACGATACACAAACATGTCCTTTGTTTTTTCTCTTATAATTCAGTTATTTGCGAACCGATGTGCCGCCGAATTAGACACCACTATATTAGGGATATTTAATGGATGTTCGAATCATGAGTATTACTGAAACACTGAAATCGTGTTTATATTCTGGCAAGCCTCTGTTCAGTGTGGCGTTAGTGTGTTGTGGCGTGTCCTGGATTCTTCCTTTTATTTCTATGATATACTTCGATGCAGATCACCATCGCTTTGAGGTAATAAAAACGTATGTAAATCAAAGTATTCGTGGATTTACCGAAACACATACATAATTCTTGTTACATTTCGGAGCGATATTTACATTTCTCACCACACATGCAGTAGGGTATACCTGATATTTGTTGTGTCTATTTCGTACTAAGAACACCATTCTATTAAACGAACACTTTTGAGAATGTGAGATGAGGTAAAATGGGCTTTAATAACTTACCACACCGATATGATCCGTGAAGATCCGGGTTAGAATTGGTCCACAGCAACCCATGCTTGTCGTAAGAGGCGACAAACGGGGTGACATCGTATCCAAATTGCGTAGATCGATGCTCAGGCTGTTGATCACTGGACTGTCTGGTCCAGACTTGATCATTTGCAGACCGCCGCCCCATAGCTGGAATATTGCGGAGTGCGGCGTTAAGCAACAAACCGCACTGATATATGGAGGTAAGAGCGAACCACCGACTTTTCAGCTCTGGGGACAAACGCTCCATTCGCTAAACCACGGAGGCGGTTTAATTTCTCATGTTCTGGTACCTTTTATATTTGTTACGTGGATCTCGAACGTTGCTATTGATTTAAGCTGCATTAATCCCGAGGATATGTTTTCTGAACAAAGTATTATTTTAAGAGTTTGTCTAAAACGCAGAGGTGCAAGATCTAAAATATCGCGAAAAAATTGGAAGTTGTCATTATCAGTGTCAACTATACACACACACCACATTTTAGTCCATTTTTGCCAAATTGCGGTCCTTAATAGTTTGATATGCTGGTTGTGGACCAAATTCTGGAAATCGGATGCACACCCCTTGAACACATTCACGTGTTTCACCTGTTGAACCAGATATGCCAGGTATTGTCTTCACTCGTTCACCAGCTTCAGAGATATTGTTACAAGTATTCTCACTGGCCACGTGCCCAAAGAAAAGACTAAAACATTACATCATTGTAAACAAATTCTGATAAAATGTTCCTACAAGTATTCACAGTACATGGTTGATATGTGCTCTAAGTGTCTTGACAACAAGAAAAACAACATTTTATTTCAGTCAATTTTGTTGAAGTGGTGTCAGCTTTACGTAGGAGGAAATCCCGAAGTAACACAGATCTCAGATACTTTGTTGAAACCCACATGCAAGCCTCAAACACGGAACAGCTGATTTGGTCTTGAAGGTCTAAATAAGATTGAAACATTAGATTGAAACCAGAGTACATGTTTAGGTCATATCTACACATTTTATGTGGATATAATCTCAAACGTTTGTTTCAACCTAAGGGGTAGCTATCGAGTGAAGCGTTCGCTCGTCACGCGAAACACAATTCCCCACACTGGTACAATACGTGAAGCCCATTTCTAGGTAACACTAAAGGGGCGTTAAACCATACTTGCATACACGAACAATCTGTGGGGATGGTGGCCACACATCTCTCGAGAAAACGGCGCAAATCAGTCCAGTAAGTATTCATTTGACTTGTAGTGAGTGAGTGAGTCAGCAATATTCCAGCTATATGGCGGCGGTCTGTAAATAATCGAGTCTGGACCAGACAATCCAGTGAGCAACAGCATGAGCATCAATCTACGCAATTGGGATACTGTGACATGTGTCAACCAAGTCAGCGAGCCTGACCACCCGATCCCGTTAGTCGCCTCTTACAAGCATGGGTTACTAAGGATCAATATTCTAATCCGGGCTTTCTTCACGGGTAGTGGGACAATGAACATAAAATATTAATATGAGTGGACATAATAGAACTAGACGTGTGTATAATACAAACTTAGTTATTTTGTGCAAAAATAACAAGAATGATCGCAGAACTGTGTACATGTATGTGTCCGAATGTAAATTCATGATAATCAAATGTTTCGTATGTGTTTATGTACACGTACATCACTTCAGTAAAAACAGTGAAAATGCAGTAATTTTATACAAATACCAACTTGAATAGGTGAACTGGTACGTTTTGACCAGAAGCCGTTTTTGCCTGGCATCCTCCCCACCAACCCATGGAGTGTTTGAGTAAGTGAGTGACTTTACTTTTACGCTGCTTTTAGCAATATTCCAGCAATATCACAGCGGGGGACACCACAAATGGGCTTCACACATTGTACCCACGTGGGGAATCTTACCTGGGTCTTCAGAGTGACGAGCGAAAACTTTAATCACTAGGCTCCCACCCATGGACATAACAGTGGCAATTCTAAGGTTTTGGGCCAACATCACATTAGGTTGCATGTACCCATGGACTTTAGTCAGAGTAACTAGGTCTCACTGATTTGTGATTTCCAGGGCTTAAACAAGGCATCAAATGTGTGAGAATAACACCATGTTGTTGTACTGTCATAACACACAAAAGAACAACAAGAACAACACATTTGGTCCCATATTAATTCTTTAATGTGCCATTAGGATAAACAATGACAAATAATGACTAACCTGGAGAACAGATCTGTTTTAAGTGTCAACATACAATTAGATCAAGATAACAAACTCAAATAACCTTAAAATAATCTTTGTTATCTGAACATGCTACCTGACAATAATCCAGTCACTGCCCTTTGTTTCTTGTTCTTGCCAACAGGTCTTCTAACTAGCGGCTGAGGCCTTAGTTTCCATACAGCTGGGATAGATTAACTCAAAATTCACACTGCTTAACACAGCACTGGGCAATATTCCAGCCATCTGGCAGCTGTCTGTAAATGAATCTGGATTCAGCAATTGAGGTCAAGAGCATCAATCTACACTCTTTGGGTACGATCTTTGGGCATTAAAGGAAAACAGAACTCCCTGGATGCCAATTCTTTGAAGTTGTACTATTGACCTTTTTTACCAATCCTTATTTCGATGCTTCCAAAGTAGTAGTTTTGTTTCCTTTTAACCATATCAGTGAGCCTGACCACCCAATCCTATTCATTGCCTTTTACAACAAACCTGGTATGCAGAAGCCCAACTCAGACCTTCAAAGTGCAACAAGGGCTGATAACTCAAACATTAATGGCATAGCATTTTCTGTGATTGTATTTAACTGACAAGAACCAGTAAGATACGATTTATTTAGCAATGAAATGATGTGAGGGAGTATGGTTTTACGCCGCTTTTAGCAATATTCCAACAATATCACGGTGGGGGACACCAGAAATGGGCTCATTGTACCCATGTGCGGAATTGAACCTGGGTGTTTAGTGTGACGAGCGAGCAGACACTTAAACCACTAGGCTACTCTACCACTCTTGCAATGAAATGAACACCTGGATTGGAAACTACGAAACTTCATCACTGCCTAGTACTCCATAGATCAAGATGATAATAAACAAGTCATCTGGAGATAACATATCCCACTGGTTTGTTGTAGTTCAGTTTGCCTTCATATACCCTACTTTTGATTCAGTGCCATTGGATACCTTGACTTCAGTGCAGGATGAGTAAGTGAATACTGTATCACACCACATTGAAACCAGAGTAAAACCTTTGGCAATAAGACACTGGGGACACCAGAAATGGGCTTCACACGCTGTACCCATGTTGGGAATCGAACCTGGGTCTTCAGTGTGATCAGCAAACACATTTACCACTCGGCTACCCCACAGCCCCAGTTCAGTGAAGAAGGACATGTTGCATATGTTTCAGTATCCGAAATCAATAAAAGGCACCAGTTAACCACCAGACTAATCTGTATTACAAGTGCCCCATATTTAACTGTTTTGGAGTTCTGCAGTAGAAATTCATTTTCAGTAACGATCCAACAAAATAAGAGAAGAAAATATAAAAAATTAGAAATCCCAGTTCATCACTAGACTGAATGGTTTATTAGTTCTTCTCTGTAAATGAAAAACAGGCGGCTACATATGGAACCATCTGTCACAAAAGCTAATTGCTACATGCCCTCATTTTACAATGTGTGGGGGGATAAGGGGAACCAGGCAACCAGAAAATACTTCTGTCATTTGTTTTGGTCAGCTCCTATTCGTTTAGTCTACTTTCATAAACCATACATACCAGCTTGTCCATACTTCTCAGTTTAAGAACACATATAACTGTCACCATTCGTTCTTCACAAAATAACACACATAGAAGATCTTTTCAAAACATATCAATGCTCCAATCAGGTCCATGAAAAAGTAAGTAGTCCATTATCTGTGAATGAATATTACAAATTAAATAAACAGGTCCGCTGTGATGGACTGAAAATATGTAAGGGACAAAAGCTCTGGCAATAGCTTTTGTTATATTCTGTAAGTCATGAAATATGACAGATTTGCGTCTTTGCTTGAAGTGAGATTTGACTGATAGTCTCACAATGCTGAAAATTTATTCAACATATGCAGTCCATTCCGTCAACTACATCTTCATCCAGCATCACCAGCCAATATGGATGTCGTATTCCTTGTCACGTCGACCCCTGCCACCCCCCACCTCGGAAAGCCCCTCTACCAAACCCCCCACTGATGAACCCATCATCGTCTCCCCCTCCACCAAATCCTCCTCCTCTTCTACCCCCACCAAAACCCCCTCCTCCTCCTCGTCCCCGTCCACCACGTCCTCCCCTGCCTCCGAATCCTCCGCCTTCCTGAGCCATGCGCTCTCGGTGGGCCTGATATCTTTCTGCCATTTTTATCAGGTTGTCAGGGATTTCCTGGAACGCAAAAACAAAATAAGTGAGTTCTTACACGCATTTAAACAGAATGTCAGTAATATCATGGCACATACGTTACTTTAGACCTATGAAGATTTGGGTAAGAAATTTGTCTTCGGCCACCCATGCTTGTCGTAAGAGATAACTAATGGGATCGAGTGGTCAGGGCTGCTCTCTTGGATGATGTGTGTCATGTCCTATTTGCCTAGGTTGATGCTCATGATGTCACTGGATTGTCTGGTCCCAGACTCAATTATTTACAGAATGCCATCGTAAAGCTGGAATATTGCTGAGTGTGGCATAAAACAACGAATGTACAAAACGTTTCTTTGGGAGGAAGACATGCTTTAGACATTTATCCCCACGAACACTGAAAATCCCTAACAAATGTTGTGTAATATATTATCTATCCACTTGAGTATCCAACTTTTTCCTGTGAGGAGGGATGGACAGCGTCTACTGCCATCTCTAGTGACAAATTTCACCCACCATTGGGTAATAACACACTTTGTCTGCTATAGACTGCATTCAGTAATACGTTGAAGCTATGTATTGAAGCTATGTCCCAGGAGCCTGTAAACTGGAATGGGATTCTAAAAACAAATGTCGATGATGTTGATGTACCCATTATTTATTTCTTGGTCTCCTGTGAAAATGGAAGGATAAAAAATACTCCGATTATAAGACATTATTGTTTCCAAAATAACTTTAGTTAGGGTCCTGAATAAAGAAACATTGTCTCACCTGGTCAGCTTCTGCCATGATGTCAATGAGTTTCTGTGCCTGACGCCAATCTCCCCTTGTGACGAATGTAATTGATGTACCTGTATTCCTGGATAAAGAACGCAATTCTATGCAAAACAGGGTTTGTTCAGATTATCACATTTATCAATTTAATCAAGAATCTTAAGGCCCCTTAGAAACACACGAGAAACGTAAGTAGTTGGATGAACATGAGATTGATGGTCGTAACTCTTAGCTACTATAGTGTGCTAGAAAAGTCTGTGAGGTAAAATTTTTGACATACTTTTTTATACCAACTGACAAATATGTCTGTTTCAAAAACAATGCACACACTTTGTGTACATTCACTATTCACGCAGTCTGCACACTGTTAAACCTCCAAAAATATAAAAATAAGAAAGTCAATTTTTAAATCGCTTTAGGCACAGCAATTATGCAGGTTTCCCCTTGTCAGAGTTACCTACCCTGCTCTGCCCGTTCTGCCGATCCTATGTACATATTCTTCAATGTTCCTTGGGAAGTCATAGTTCAAAACATGCCTGAAAAACATGGTCCGAAATAGTGATAACTCATGCATGTATCAACATCTACAACATAGGGACAATGGTCAATCATCAAACTGTTTTGTAGCTAGCAGTGAACTCAACTGAAGAGGTGAAAGAGCGGAACTCTGCTTTGAACAGTATTTCAGTCATATAACAGCATGGTTTTAGTTTTTTACCACACTGGTGAGCATGTATATGGTGCTGACTCACATAGAGAAACAATCAGTGAATCTGGGATTCAAAGCCATGGTCATAAGTTCCTGGTACACACAAGAGAGGCAACTCTGCAGAGAGTGCTGCATGAACTGAGAGTAGACTCCCCCATGTCAGTTTGTAAAGAGCCTGGACAAGTCAAGGCCTTTGTAGTTGTATTAATTTTTGGTAAAAATCCTGTATAGTGGATACTGGTTGCATGACCATAAAAAGCCCTACGAACATGATGTAAGTGTGTACAAATTTAAGGCTTTTAAAACAATGTGTGATTTTAAAGGCTTTTCACGAGGAACACTGTCATTTAAGGCTATCATAAGCCTGTATGAACCATGAAGTTTGTGAGGCATCATACACACTGACTTCTGACTTTTCCATGAGAACACCTAGATACCCAATCCTCCACATGTTTTCGAATCATAGATATCAGCTGTCAACAACGTACGTGATGTCCTTCACGTCAAGGCCCCTTGAAGCGACATCGGTAGCAATAAGAATGCGGACGGCTCCGGACTTGAAGTCACTCAGAGCAGCTTCGCGGTCACACTGCTCCCTGGTAAAGACACATCTCCCAGTCACATGGGTAATAGTTACAGAACGTGAAGAAACAGCTAGTTAAGGTTGTTTAATGTACTAAGCAGTATTCAAGCATTATACCTGTGGTCTTAATGTAATTAAGTCCGGGTCACACTAAGTGTCTCAAACATATCTGGTTGTCAAGAAAATATTGGGGGGCAAGCTTCCAATTTATTCATATCAAACACATTACTGACCTGTCTCCATGGATACACTGACACTCCACAGCCTCCATAGCCAAGTCACTGGACAGGTCATCAGCTCTGGAAATACGTCAAACGATCATGTCACAACATTAACAGTTATACCATGTTAGCCTGAACAAACCTTTCCAGACACCATGTATACATGACATTTACTGTCTGAATAATCTATGATTAAAGATCATTACAACCTACCCAATAATCTGGGCCCTTATTCTTGAAATGTTCGTAGCCCTAAGAATTCTTAACTTCGATCGTAGCCAATGTGCTAAGAATGGGCTTAAGAAGTTCTTAGGGCTACAAACGTTTCGAGAATAGCTAGCCTGGCAATTTCTAAATAAAATAAGGAGAATTTCATTGAAATGCTAATGTAGATATTTTCACTGCACTTCCCAATGGTGACCCGTTCTCTTGAGTTAATGCAAATACCCTCAAGAGATCTGTCAGACATGATACTGACTGCATAACTGAGTATGATAGGAATTTGATAATCCATGGATTAACGCCTTCTACCAACAGCTGTTACTATGACAACCAGTGATTTCGGAAACTGGTACTCACAAGACTTTCTTCCCTACAAACACTATGACTTTGTCCATGGGCTGAAGCTCATACTGGAGGAAGTCAAACAACTGAAAGTAAAATATAACATATCAGATTGTGTACTTTTGTAATCTTATCAACCACTTCAACATTGGCAAATTGTGAGTGATCAAATAGACAGATTTTGTTATCAGGTAAAAACAATCATTTAGTATCAATATTGTTTCATGCCAGTCAGTAATACACCAGGTATTTTTAAGGTGTCAGACAATACCAGATAGTCAATGAGGTCCCTTGTCCATTATAAACACATGCAGTTTCTTACCCGAGGCTTTTTCTCCTCATCATCCAACACTTCCACCAGCTGTGTAACACTGTGGCAAGCCTATAACGAAGTGAGTGAGTGAAGCTAGAAATGAAATTCTAGACACAGAAATACTTGTCCTATTTTGATAGTAATCACAGAATACTACCACAGAAACATACATATGAGAAAACAGACACTAAGGAAACAACAAAATCAATAAAGATTTCTGTCACCATAAACCAATTACCAAAATTGCCTGAAGCAGTCATAAAATCCTCACTTCACGTCAATCTTACAAAGGTATATTATGGGTCTGTAATGCTTGCAAGTTTCCACTCGGAAATAATGAAGTTAAGGCACGTTAGCCACAGACAACTGGATAGAGGAATGAAAGTCAAAGCACCACAAGACAAGCTCACTGAATTTTCAGTTGGGGGAGCTAAAACTGCAGGTGTCCTTTGTTTGTAATACAAAGAGATGCAATATTATCTGGACATTATAATCTGAACAAGTGAACTCTGCTCAAGATAAAAAAGAGCTGCATCTGGACACAATGAAGTTACATGCCATATCACTCATACATCATTTGAATGTTCCTTATTTGGAGTTTGCTGCTGTTGACAATCCCTCTGAGAGAAGATATGTTTTTCATAAGGAAGCAATCAATATTATCAAACTGAACTGCAGCTATCTCATATCTAATCAGGAAAGTTCACAGGCTTGGACCTGTCGTTAGCTAATTTGTGTCAGTAAATTTTACAGATATTAATTTCATGATTACTGGTTCTATTATATAACATATATGGTCACTGTTCCACTGCACCAGAGTGAGTAATGGGACAGCATACTCGAATGTAAAAATGAGTGAGTGAGTTAGTTTAGCTTTACGCTGAACTCAGCAATATTCCAGCCAAATGGCGGCGGTCTGTAAATAATCAAGTCTGGACCAGACAATCCAGTAATCAACAACATGAGCATCGATCTGCGCAATTGGGAACCAATGACATGTGTCAACCAAGCCAGCGAGCCTGACTACCCGATCCCGTTAGTCGCCTCTTATGACAAGCATATTCGCCTTTTGTGGCTAGCATGGGTTGCTGAAGACCTATTCTACCCCGGATCTTCACGGGTCACATGTAAAACTGAGAGTGTTCGGTAATGTTAAATTTTCAAACCCTTATGAACAAGTAAGGTTGATCTAACACTGATTTTCATGACAAGAACACCATTTGAAGGATTAAAAGACTTACAGCCAGATCAAGTGTCCCGACAAAGATGTTGATGGGGCTGGACATGTACATGTCTGCTAGCCGCTGAACTTCTTGTGGCCAGGTGGCGCTGCCAACAGAACCAACATTCTCGTGGATTGGTTCCAGTAATATCACAGATATTTGAATAATGCCTGTCTCAGAACTGATTAGCAGGTCCAGTCATCAGTGACCAGTCACATGACAGTGACTGACATCATAGTGAGTGAGTATGGTTTTACAACGCTTTTAGCAATATTCCAGCAATATCAAGGCGGGGGACACCAGAAATGGGCTTCACACATTGTACCCATGTGGGGATTCGAACCCAGGTCTTGGGCGTGACGAGCGGACGCTTTAACCATTAGGCTGACCCCACCGCTCGACTGACATCATACCCAGCAGTACATACTCCATACATTGATGTAAGCTCCTCTATCCCTCATGAATACATACGATTTGTAATGGTGAAGAGATATTTATGCGAGACTTCTTTCTTATTCATATCGTTTTTGGTGACAGATTTTTGCCTCAAAATTCAGGTCAGAGCTAAACAAAAAATATTTATAAAAAATAAATTTAAAAAATCCAATTTAAAAAATATTATTTTGGTCATTTCCTCTGGCAAATCATAATTCCATTTTGGAGGTTTTTATATAAAATTTCAACAGGTTGTAATTAGAGTATTTGATAAATTTATGAAAGTAAATGAGTTATTTACATTATGCTTATATCTGGTTGGGGGAATAAAAAACTTCTTCTCAATTTTCAAATGTTTGAAGTCAGCAGATTCGACAACCCATGGCAAGGTTCCACTGAGATGGTAACCAATGACATTTTTGGACAAGGCTTATGGAACTTCTTGTGGCCATAATTACCTTGTCATTACAGTCTGTCGGTCTCGTCTGATGTCCAACAAAATCTTTCGGATCTCAGGTTCAAATCCCATGTCCAGCATTCTGTCTGCTTCATCCAGAACCTGCAATAAACACAAACATGGTAATATTGGGTACACACTCCATGCTTTGCTTTACACACAACATTCAAGGTTTATGCCTTATCCACAGGTGAATGATTGTAATCAATAGGTTCAGGCATTCAAGCATTGGAGTTCGCAAAATAATTCGGCATATATTTGTTTGCATGCTATGGTCATATGAATGAATTTGTGTGCTAAGATTAAGTGAATGTTACATATGTTATATACGATTAAAAAAAGGAGGGGATATTGGATTTACAAGATCGATAAAATGCAAATGATGAAGCAAGGAGGAAACAGATGATGAAGAGAAATTAAGGGAAAATGTGACAATTCATTCCATTCCCTTGGAAATGTTTCATCTGTATGGATATATATTACTTTTTCTCAAATGTTTCATCTGTATGGATATATATTACTTTTTCTCATATGCATTGGCATTGGCTAGTGGTATGCTCGCAAAATGTGATCCCCCACTTTTTTTGAATGGTATATTTGGGATTACACTTTCTTAGTCAAGATTCTAATACTTTTGTTAGGTTGAGTCCCATCTGGGCATTGTGTATTCTTAAGTGAATGTTGTTTTTAGCCACAACCACCAACATTTCATCAATGTGGCAGATTGTAAATATTCCAGTCTAGACCAGGTGATTCACTCTAATCCACACCATCAAGACCCAAAGACACATATTACCTGTAACAGAGCCTGATGACTGCATTCATTTTGGTGATGAGAGTGAGTGAGTTGTGTTTTACTCAGGTTCAGCAATATTCCAGCAATAACATGGCAGGGAGCACCAACAATGGACTTCACACATTGTAACTGGGAATCGAACCCTTCACTGTGAAGAGCAAATGCTTTACCCACTACCCCACGGCCCCTCACTTCAGTAAACCTTTTTAACACAAGTAGGTTGCTGGGGAGTAATTCTACCCAAGACTCTGATGGTGGTCTATCCACAGAGTGTTCACATCATGTATTATCAACTGACATTCATAGGTTAAATCATCACAGCAATTAAGAATAACTAAACGACATTTACGCCTACATATTCATGACAATTGTTTCGCTGTATTGTGCTTGCAGTAAAGTAGCACGGTTCAGTATCCAAGCAGGGATTGTATCATTAGAGTATTCTGTTCACGTATCATCAGACCACATTAATAGGGATAACAAAGCAATAAGGAATAACTTAATGACATTTACACCTAACATGACAGTACTGTAGCTGTATTGTGTTAGCAGTACAGTAGCTAGGGGTGACTATTGAGGGGAGACAACTATTGGGACAATGATACTCTATTGCGACACACTATTGCGATAGTGATAGTCTATTGCAACCAACTATTGCAACACTATGGCAATAGTTTTTCTCTCCTTGAATTGTCTCATTTAAAGTCATTTCCCAAATGAATGTATAGTTTATATGAAATAAAATCAAGTTGAAGTAGCTTGAGTCTCTTTTGATAACTGGCAAGAAACTCTAACCCTAGATCAAGTAAACAGTCATGTTTGTTTAACTGGTAACAGGGACGGATAACTCTAAATCAAAGTGAACAGAAGTCAATTACTAAACTATCGATAGTCACGTATACTATCGATGCATCCATAGTTTTTCGTTTCTACCATCGATTAATTGCTATCGGAAACTCAACAATTGCAATCCATCGATAGTTTGATTCATCCCTACAGCCCTAACAGTAGAACAGGTCAATATACAGGTAGGGAAGGTACAAGTAGAGAATACGGCAGGTGTCTGGTAAGGCTAAGATTTTCAACTTACCAGATATGTGACAGACTTCACATCTACGATGCCATTCATGATGAGATCGTTGAGTCGGCCTGGTGTGGCTACTATGATCTCCACACCTTTCGCGACCACACTGATCTGATTTCTCCGGTTCCCGCCACCATACACGACCACGCTGGAACAATGTATAATAACAATTCATCAGACCGAAATGTAACTTACAGGAGCCGCTCCTGCAGCATTGACCGAGATGTAACTTACAGGAGCCGCTCCTGCAGCATTGACCGAGATGTAACTTACAGGAGCCTCTCCTGCAGCATTGACCGAGATGTAACTTACAGGAGCCGCTCCTGCAGCATTGACCGAGATGTAACTTACAGGAGCTGCTCCTGCAGCATTGACCGAGATGTAACTTACAGGAGCCTGCTCCTGCAGCATTGACCGAGATGTAACTTACAGGAGCTGCTCCTGCAGCATTGACCGAGTTGTAACTTACAGGAGCTGCTCCTGCAGCATTGACCGAGATGTAACTTACAGGAGCTGCTCCTGCAGCATTGACTGAGATGTAACTTACAGGAGCTGCTCCTGCAGCATTGACCGAGATGTAACTTACAGGAGCTGCTCCTGCAGCATTGACCGAGATGTAACTTACAGGAGCTGCTCCTGCAGCATTGACCGAGATGTAACTTACAGGAGCTGCTCCTGCAGCATTGACCGAGATGTAACTTACAGGAGCTGCTCCTGCAGCATTGACCGAGATGTAACTTACAGGAGCTGCTCCTGCAGCATTGACCGAGATGTAACTTACAGGATCTCTGCAGCATTGACCGAGATGAGCTGCTGCTCCTGCAGCATTGACCGAGATGTAACTTACAGGAGCTGCTCCTGCAGCATTGACCGAGATGTAACTTACAGGAGCTGCTCCTGCAGCATTGACGAAGATGTAACTTACAGGATGCTCCTAGCATTGACTGCCGAGATGAATGTAACTTACAGGAGCTGCTCCTGCAGCATTGACCGAGATTGTAACTTACAGGAGCTGCTCCTGCAGCATTGACCGAGATGTAACTTACAGGAGCTGCTCCTGCAGCATTGACCGAGATGTAACTTACAGGAGCTGCTCCTGCAGCATTGACCGAGATGTAACTTACAGGAGCTGCTCCTGCAGCATTGACCGAGATGTAACTTACAGGAGCCGCTCCTGCAGCATTGCAGATGTAACTTACAGGAGCTGCTCCTGCAGATTGAGGGCTGCTCCTGCAGCATTGACCGAGATGTAACTTACAGGAGCTGCTCCTGCAGCATTGACCGAGATGTAACTTACAGGAGCTGCTCCTGCAGCATTGACCGAGATGTAACTTACAGGAGCTGCTCCTGCAGCATTGACCGAGATGTAACTTACAGGAGCTGCTCCTGCAGCATTGACCGAGATGTAACTTACAGGAGCTGCTCCTGCAGGAGATGTAACTTACCTCCTGCATTGACCGAGATGTACTGCTCCTACATTGGATGCTGCTCCTGCAGCATTGACCGAGATGTAACTTACAGGAGCTGCTCCTGCAGCATTGACGAGATGTAACTTAGAGCTGCTCCTGCAGCATTGGCCTCCGAGATGTAACTTACAGGAGCCCTCCCTGCATTGACCGAGATGTAACTTACAGGAGCCGCTCCTGCAGCATTGACTGAGATGTAACTTACAGGAGCTGCTCCTGCAGCATTGATTGAGATGTAACTTACAGGAGCTGTTGCAGCATTGATTGAGATGTAACTTACAGGAGCTGCTCCTGCAGCATTGACCGAGATGTAACTTACAGGAGCTGCTCCTGCAGCATTGACCGAGATGTAACTTACAGGAGCTGCTCCTGCAGCATTGACCGAGATGTAACTTACAGGAGCTGCTCCTGCAGCATTGACCGAGATGTAACTTACAGGAGCTGCTCCTGCAGCATTGACCGAGATGTAACTTACAGGAGCTGCTCCTGCAGCATTGACCGAGATGTAACTTACAGGAGCCGCTCCTGCAGCATTGACGGAGATGTAACTTACAAGAGCCGCTCCTGCAGCATTGACGGAGTTGTAACTTACAGGAGCCGCTCCTGCAGCATTGATGGAGATGTAACTTACAGGAGCCGCTCCTGCAGCATTGACCGAGATGTAACTTACAGGAGCCGCTCCTGCAGCATTGCACTCACAGAACTAGGCTAAATACAAATGTACCACATGTAAATAAGTGTCTCATAACACAGCGGGTCATCCATGGACACCAAGAGGAAGGGATGACTGTATATGGTGGACGGCTGAGCTTACTAGACTCTACAGAAATAATTAAGGTCAAGGAAACATAGAAGCATATAACCACTCACCTGCGTATGCCCCTGTAGTTGATTTTCTTCACCTCCACCTCAATCTGCTGGGCCAGTTCTCGGGTCGGAGACAACACTAACACATTGGGACCACCACGCTGCTCCCTTGGGCTGTGATAATACAGCGGGAGTGAATCAAGGAATGTTCATTCATTAATGCAGTCAGAAATTTTAACGTCACATCACTGCGTCATGTGAACAATATGGTACTGTTGGATGTTGGGTTTTTTCGTCTGTTGTTTAATGCCACACTCAGCTACACCACAAGGGAAGGGGATCAGGGCTCGAATTAGTGCTTTGTTACTTGCATTGGTGCAACCCAATATTACAAAATGCAACCTAGTTATTAGTCTAACTTGCAACAGGTGCAACTCAATTTTTGAGTGGGTAAAACATTTAAATAATTCAATAGCATATTTCTTACATTACATATTACAATAAAAGCAGTGCAACTGGAATTTGGCTGGTTTAACTAGGTTTTATTTTAGGTTGCACCTGGTGCAAGTAGGTTAACTTGTCTTAAATCAAGCCCTGGGGATTTATCAGAGCTTGTCTGCAAAATGTGGAAGGAAAGTCTAAAATGATCCAGGTCATAGATAATTACAACTCTGGTCATCTAGAAACACAACCAGGGCAAAGAGGATTCGAAACGATGATCATAGGTTAATAGCTCCAAGCAATCTAGTGAATGTCAGTGCCTGAGATGACTGCGCCTGATCTGCCACCTAAAAATATGTCTAATAATTGTAGTATGTCGACAATTATGCAGCTTTACCATCTCACAGATATTATGAAACTATTTTCCTTGTCCAGTTTAGCTATTCATAATCGACAAAATCAATTACTACAATTACCCGGTTACAAGATTCACAACTCACACAGGCTGGTTGTCAATGTGGATTAAAGCTGGGAGGAGAAAAGCCAAGGTTTTTCCGGTACCTGTCTGAATAGAAACAGTGGGATCTGAAAATCAACTCAAAGAATGACTGACAAGAGATTTCCAGATCACTTGATGATGATGCAACACACTGGAATATAATTAAGTTAAATCATGTTCTTAAAAAAATGTGTTTTTTAAAATCTTTATAGGACATTCGAACAACTGCAAGAGATTAGGACTGGACACCTACCTGTGCTATTCCAATAAGGTCTTGTCCTTGTAACAGAATGGGCCATGCTTGTTTCTGAAGAATGAATGAGTGAGTGAGTGAGTGAGTGAGTGAGTGAGTGAGTGAGTGAGTAGTAGTGAGAGTGAGTGAGAGAGGTATGGTTTTACGCCACTTTTAGCAATATTCCACCAATATCAAGGCGTGGGACACCAGAAATGGGTTTCACACATTGTACCAATGTGGGGAATCGAACCAGGGTCTTCGGCGTGACGACGCTTTAACCACTATGACACCCCACCACCCCTTGTTTCTGAAGAAAACGATAACAGGATAGCTGAGGAATTTCTGCAGATGGGGGAAACTGACCATGCACAAAAGGTGTATGCACTGCTTAATGCTGTACACTGCAATATTCAGTCATTCAATAATAGACATACTTGAGTTTGGATCAGACGAACTGGTGATTAATATTGTGAGTCTAATACTGACCTGTATTGGTGATGGCTCAACAAACTTCTGATTATAGATCTGTTCTAGAATCTGAGCTGTAAGAAAATGGAACCACTGTATAACTGTACTAAACTTTAAACTTCAAATAATAAGTGAGTGAGTGAGTGAGTTTAGTTTTACGCCGCACTCAGCAATATTCCAGCTATATGACGGCGGTCTGTAAATAATCAAGTCTGGACCAGACAATCCAGTGATCAACAGCATGAGCATCGATCTGCGCAATTGGGAACCAATGACATGTGTCAACCAAGTCAGCGAAACTGACCACCCGATCCCGTTAGTCGCCTCTTACGACAAGATAGTCGCCTTTTTATGGCAAGCACATGGGTTGCTGAAGACCTATTCTACCCCGGATCTTCACGGGTCACTTCAAATAATAACTGAACACACTCTTTACATGACAAACCATGATTCAGTTATTTGTAGTTACAAGGACACTCATTCATTTTAAGTGAAAGAGCCCCAAAAAATAGGCTTCAGCCAGCCTATTACATTCTGGTTCTGGGGAACTACACTGATGGGAATCCCTGTGATTATGTCACAGATATGAAAATTAATAAATCATCAAAAACTTGAAACCACTTTTAATTCGTCTCCTCAATGTTGTCGAACATGGAATTACAGGGACTTTTTCCAGTGCTTAGAGTGAGTGAGTGAGAACAATATTCCCGCAATATCATGGGAATGATCTTCACATATTGTACCCATGTGGTGAATCTAACCAGGGGCTTCTGTGTGATGAATAAATGCTTTAAACACTTGGCTATCCCCACCCCACCCCACCACCACATTCCCACCCCAATCCCACCTTTAAAAGACAAGAGTTTCTTACGATAATGCTGGAAGGCTTCTTCAAAGGTCCTCACAGGATTTGCCACACGTTTGTCCCCGCCTTCAACAATTATGTTGTTGTTCTTCTTCCTGTTGATAACAGTACACTTCCATTATAGGCCATAAACCTGAGAGTTAATTATTGACATATCTGACCAAGGGAATTGGAGTACAACAAGCATGGAATACATAAATTTTAAGGAGGGGAAAGGTATCACAAATTCTCTGGTCAAGCCAATACAGGCAGGTCAAGCCAATACCAGTAGGCCAAGCTAATACAGATCAAGCAATTACAGGCTGGGTCAAGCTGATACAGGCAGGTCAAGCTGATACAGGTGGGTCAAGCTGATACAGGTGGGTGAAGCTGATACAGGTGGGTGAAGCTGATACAGGTGGGTCAAGCTGATACAGGTGGGTGAAGCTGATACAGGTGGGCCAAGTTTATACAGGTGGGTGAACCACCTGTGAAGCTGATACAGGTGGGTGAAGCAGATACAGGTGGGTGAAGCTGATACAGGCAGGTCAAGCTGATACAGGTGGGCCAAGCTGATACAGGGGGTGGCTGATACAGTCAAGCTGATACAGGTGGGTCAAGCTGATACAGGTGGGTACAAGCTGATACAGGTGGGTCAAGCTGATACAGGTGGGGTGATAAGTCAAGCTGATACAGGTGGGTGAAGCTGATACAGGTGGGTCAAGCTGATACAGGTGGGTCAAGCTGATACAGGTGGGTCAAGCTGATACAGGTGGGTCAAGCTGATACAGGTGGGTCAAGCTGATACAGGTGGGTCAAGCTGATAAAGGTGGGTCAAGCTGATACAGGTGGGCCAAGCTGATACAGGTGGGTCAAGCTGATACAGGTGGGTCAAGCTGATACAGGTGGGTGAAGCTGATACAGGTGGGTCAAGCTGATACAGGCGGTCAAGCTGATACAGGTGGGTCAAGCTGATACAGATGGGTGAAGCTGATACAGGTGGGTCAAGCTGATAAAGGCAGGTCAAGCTGATACAGGTTGCCCAAGCTGATACAGGTGGGACAAGCTGATACAGGTGGGCCAAGCTGACACAGGTGGGTCAAGCCAGTAGAGCACGCCTTGACAGTACATTTAGCCCCAAGACAGAACATTCAGGTCAAGTCACTACAGTCAGGCCAATCCAATACAGTCATGTTAATCTAAGAGTCAGATCAAGCCTGTATAATCAAAAAAGAGTGAGTGATCAAGCCAGTACAAGCAAATACAGGGAGGCCAAACCAACACAGGTAGGCAAAGCCAATACAAGAAGGCCAAGCTGATACAGTGAGTGAGTGAGTTTAGTTTTACGCCGCTTTTAGCAATATTCCAGCAATATCACGGCTGGTGACACCAGAAATGGGCTTCACACATTGTACCCATGCGGGGAATCGAACCCGGGCCTAGGCATGACGAGCGAACGCCGTAACCACTAGGCTACCCCACCACCCCAAGCTGATACAGGGAGGCCAAGCCAACACAGGTTGGCAAAGCCAGTACAAGCAGGGCAAGTCGCCCAAACAGGCAGGGCAACAAGGACAGTTTGGACATGTTTTATGTTTCAGGCAATAATCCAGATAAAAATGGCAACCTGTAAAGAATCAAGTTGTTTATAACCAGTTATTGATATCATAAACAATAATCAAAGCCATCAGTTTAAGATGACACAACTATCGAACAAGTCACCAAAGTTAAGTGATCCATTAAATCACCTCATATAAGCATAGTTTCCTGTCATTTGGCTACTTTTTAACCTTCACAACTCTGGACTACACACATACACAACCACACCATGGACAACACATAGCCTACCTGATTTCCTTTACTTCTCCTGGATGCATGTTAGCCACATCAGGATCTTCAAAGTAAAAATTCTTCTCCAAAGGTGGCAGACCTACGACAAAAACATTTACAGCCTTGTGACAAAATGTTGAAGGAGCAAGTCAGCAATATCACCAACCAACAAATAATCCAGTCTTGAATACTAGTTGTTAATAGCATGAGGAACAAGTCAAGCCATATTGAGTTCACACTGTCACAAGGCTCTCTTAAACATGGTGGGCCTGATGATTAGTGTTGGGAATTGGTTAAAATCTCATACCGGGTAATTGAGATCATCGAAAATAATTGGTTAGCGTCATTTATGAAATTTTCCTGGTTATTTTTGTTAAGGCCAGACCAATTTTATTTCTTGTTTTACGGATCCGCCGGTCATATTTTTTCAAGCATAAGAAAAAAAATAAAAATTAATCTTCCACGCCCTAAAAATAAATCCTCATGTTTTTATTGGCAAAGAATGTAAACTTACAAAACAAAATTTTTTGATTTTTTTTTGCCCCATATACACTTCATAACTTGCCAAAAATTAACTACTTTTACAAAGGAATATTACTTTGACTGGTGATTTTGATTTTTGATTTTTTTTCCCTCCTGCCTTTAGGTTTTCTGAGGATAACAATTAGTAAAACAAGAAATAAAATTGGTCTGGACTAATGCACAAAAACACAAAGACAAAACCATGTAGTTCTTTGGGTTTTTTTCAAATTTCACATCTTAACAGGATGATTAGTATGTTAGGAACATAAATTTATTGGGGTCTTTAAGATAAATTCAGTCATGACTTGGAACGAGCTTGTAGTGCTCGTGAAATGTAACAGACAAAAAGAACCTTGTGAAAAATATTGTTAATGCAAAAAGAGAATACCTGAATTGTTTGTAATGCAAAAAGAGAAAACATGATCGATTGCTTGGTCATCTAATCTTTGATTATTTCAATTAATCAGACCACCACTACTGATGATGTTTCTTGGTTACCAGGCACCATAACCATGTTCATCACTTCAGGCTTTCCTCCTATAATTAAGCAGATGATAAATCTAAATACTGCTCAAAGAGGCATCAAACTCAAATCCTCTCTCAAATATCAGAACAGCACTAGCCCGTTTCAGATGTAGTTCCCATGATCTTCTAATAGAAAAGGTAGGCATTTAGGGATACCACAGGAAAAACGCTTGTGTAAATATTGTACTTAGAAGATGAATATCATTTCTTGCTTGTTTGTCCATTGTATGCAAATATCAGAAAAGAATACATAAAGAAATATTTCTACTTGAACCCCCCAATAGACAAATTCCATACCCTCATGACATCCGAAAATCAAACAGCCACAAAATACTTTGCAATGTATGTATACCACGTCATGAATATGAGATCCTCTGCATTACAGATGTGATATTATTTACTATATATTCATTTATATTGCACCCTCTGCTACTGTATGTAAAATGTACTATAGGCCTACGGCCTCTTCAGTACTGTAAAATAAAGATTGATTGAACTACCAGATATATCATAAATGTCACACTGATAAATAGTTGTGAGTCAAGTAGAGTCAACCACTGCTGTGTCAAAGTTGTAAGGACCTATGCAAATGTGTCAAGTTAGACGAGGAAGCCGCGGTGGCTGAGCGGTCTAGGCGTCTGACTTTGTGTGCTGGCGATTAGGTGCCTGACTCTGAGGGTGTGGGTTCGAATCCCGGATGGGACTCAACCCAAAACAGTACTAGAATCTGTACTTTACTGAGAAAGTGTAATCCCAAATATAACATATGTTACATTTGACCACTTTCTAAAATGGCATTGTGTATTTCAAAGTTAGACGAGGATCGACAAATCCACTAAAGGATGACTACATGAGGAATCCATGGTATCAAGCTGAGACAATTCTAAATTTGACAAAATGGTGTCGGACTCTATTGTATGACCACTTATAGTACCAGAAGGCCAGAAATGTTGGACCAGTTTTACATCAAATGGTTCTCTGTTATCTCCTTGCATTGTTAGACATGGTTTTCATAAGCCCAAACCCAACCAGTTAACATTTGTACCTTCAAATTTCTTTGCTTCATTAGCCTCTTTAGCAGCTCGAATGATTCCCCAGTTGATTTTGGGTTTCTCGGCTGGCTCTCCGTTGCCTGCAAGAAACAAAAACCATCAACTGATAACTGGCCTTGCTAAATACAAACAAGAGGCATATAGCTTACAGATTAGCAAATTATGTACTTGGTATTATTTTTAGTTATTAATACCAAGTACATAATTAGTACATAACTTGCTGTAGTTTGTATGTTGGCATCCTTTATTGACAAGATACATAAATAACCATATGTCAGCTGTAATAACATGATGATGATGATGATGATGATGATGATGGCATGTACAATTTAAGCTTTTGGTCTGCATGCATACATTGAAAAGTATTCCTTCACCTGCATTGTCATCTGTGCTTCCCCAGCCCGATGATCTACCGCCACCACCTCCTCCGTAGCTTGAGGAGTCTGAAAATAATACAGTGTTTCAATAAGGCAGAAATAATACTAAAACATGGTTTGCTAGTTTCTTGCAATATTCCAGCTATATGGCGGAGGTCTGTAACTAATCAATCCAGTGATTAACAGCATGAGCATCGACCTACCCAACTGGGATATGATGACATGTGTCCACCAAGTCTGCAAGCCTGACAACCCATTCTGTTAGTCGCCTCTTATGACAAGCATGGATTACTGAAGACCAATTCTAACCCAGACCTCCATGAGTCTGAGAAATGGAAGGACTTTGACAGTTTTTAAATGTCAAACACAGACCATAATTTCACATATTTACACAAATATAGAAAACTGGCCCTCGGTTAATGGTCCAGTGCTATGAAATGCAGCCTTCAAACACAACACTTGTTGTTGTTTAATACTATGGTATGTCATCATCCTGATATATGATGGTCATTTGGAAGTAACAGAGTCTGGATGAGTGACAGGGTATAAAATTGCTCGCGTACTCTGGTACAGTGGTACATGTAAAATCACTTGCCCTGATAATTTTTCCACAATACCGGCCGATTATTAAAATAAACAACATAATTAACATTGGAAAGTCAACTGGACACCGGTACAGTGTGATAGACAAATTTGCTTGCCCGACAGAAAAAACACTGGACTGGGACGTCGGGCAATGAGTTATTTCCACCCCTGAGTGAGTGAGTGAGTGAGCAATCAGCAATATTCCAGCTATATGGCGGCGGTCTGTAAATCATCGAGTCTGGACCAGGCAATCCAGTGAGCAACAGCATGAGCATTGTTCTGCGCAATTGGGAACCAATGACGTGTGTCAACCGAGTCAGCGAGCCTGACCACCCGATCCCGTTAGTCGCCTCTTACGACAAGCATGGGTTACTGAAGATCAATATTCTAACCCGGACCTTCACGGGTGACTCTGGATGAGACAATCCAAGGAATGACATCATGGGCATTGATCTGTTCAACTGGGATATGACATGCTTCAACAAAGTCAGCAATCTGGACGAACCGTTCCTGTCAGTTGCCTCTAACGACAAGCACTTGTTGCTGAAGACCCAAAACGTACAGACAACAAGCAGAAGATGTAGTGAAAACTTACCATTAAATGATTCTGTGAGTTCCTTTATCATGTCTTCAGCTTGTGTTCGAGCCTGGTCACTGCCAGTCAGGATCACGATAACCTTCCCATCTTCTGTCTCATTTCTCGTCACCTGAACATTTGACAAAACCCTGACACTGCTTTAAACAGTATTACATGTACACCATTGTATGGTGGCTTGATTTGGAAAGGAACCCTGAAGTTATTGAATGTAGGAGAAATTCACAACTGGAAAGGGGCAGTAACTCTTTCAGGTATTTTGAAATGAATTTTCTGGTTGGTGCGATGTTAACCCACTTACAGCCTAATAAATTTAAAAATAAACAAGAGTTGTTTATTGCAAAATAAAACACTGTAGGGAGCACATCCAAGATGATAACTCACTACCCATTTAAAAACAGCTTCGACCTTTTTAAGTCATAAAGCTGTGTGTTTTGAATCTCCAGAATTGACATCAGGATGGAACAATTATTGTGAAATAACCATATTTTGTTTGCAGTTGTTCTAAATGATTTATCTGATAGCTGCATTAAAACAATTACTTTGATGCCTGCTCCACTTTCATCTTGAAGCTCTCGTATTTTGGATCCACCTTTACCTGTAACATGGACAGAGACAGGTGAGATAGTGTTTGTTGTTTTAATGACACAGTCAGCAGAATGGACAGAGACAGGTGAGATAGTGTTTGTTGTTTTAATGACACAGTCAGCAGAATGGACAGAGACAGGTGAGATAGTGTTTGTTGTTTTAATGACACAGTCAGTAGAATGGACAGAGACAGGTGAGATAGTGTTTGTTGTTTTAATGACACAGTCAGCAGAATGGACAGAAACAGGGGAGATAGTATTTGTTGTTTTAATGACACAGTCAGCAGAATGGACAGAGACAGGTGAGATAGTGTTTGTTGTTTTAATGAATGGACACAGTCACAGAATGGACAGAAACAGGGGAGATAGTAGAACCGTCAGCAGAATGGACAGAGACAGGTGAGATAGTGTTTGTTGTTTTAATGACACAGTCAGCAGAATGGACAGAGACAGGTGAGATATGTTTTAATGACAGAGTCAGCAGAATGGACAGAAACAGGGGAGATAGTGTTTGTTGTTTTAATGACACAGTCAGCAGAATGGACAGAGACAGGTGAGATAGTGTTTGTTGTTTTAATGACACCGTCAGCAGAATGGACAGAGACAGGGGAGAAAGTTGTTTAAATGACACAGTCAGCAGAATGGACAGAAACAATTAAGATCATGTTTGTGGCCGAATGTATTTCAGCTGCAGGTTAATTAATGGAATATTCAAGTACTGTAATGGCAGCCTACAAAGAACCAACTCTGGAATATTCCAGTACTGTAATGGCAGTCTACAAAGAACCAACTCTGGAATATTCCAGTACTGTAATGGCAGCCTACAAATAACCAACTCTGGAATATTCCAGTACTGTAATGGCAGCCTACAAATAACCAACTCTGGAATATTCCAGTACTGTAATGGCAGTCTACAAAGAACCAACTCTGGAATATTCCAGTACTGTAATGGCAGCCTACAAAGAACCAACTCTGGAATATTCCAGTACTGTAATGGCAGGCTGGCAGTACAAAGAACCTACAAAGAACCAACTCTGGAATATTCCAGTAGTGGCACTCTACAAAGAACCAACTCTGGCAGCCTACAAAGAACCAACTCTGAATATTCCAGTACTGTAATGGCAGCCTACAAATAACCAACTCTGGAATATTCCAGTACTGTAGTACTGTGGCAGCCTACAAAGCCAAAGACCAACTCTGGAATATTCCAACCAACTCTGGAATATTCCAGTACTGTAATGGCAGTCTACAAAGAACCAACTCTGGAATATTCCAGTACTGTAATGGCAGCCTACAAAGAACCAACTCTGACAACTCTGGTAACTCTGGAATATTCCAGTACTGTAATGGCAGTCTACAAAGAAACCAACTCTGGAATATTCCAGTACTGTAATGGCAGCCTACAAAGAACCAACTCTGGAATATTCCAGTACTAATGGAACCAACTCATATTCCAGTATTGTAATGGCAGCCTACAAAGAACCAACTCTGGAATATTCCAGTACTGTAATGGCAGCCTACAAAGAACCAACTCTGGAATATTCCAGTACTGTAATGGCAGCCTACAAAGAACCAACTCTACTGTAGCTCTACAAAGTACAGAACCAACTCTGGAATATTCCAGTACTGTAATGGCAGCCTACAAAGAACCAACTGGAATATTCAGTACTGTAATGGCAGCCTACAAAGCAACTCTGGAATATTCCAGTACTACAAATGGCAGCTGGAATATTCTACAAATAACCAACTCTGGAATATTCCAGTACTGTAATGGCAGCCTACAAAGAACCAACTCTGGAATATTCCAGTACTGTAATGGCAGCCTACAAAGAACCAACTCTGGAATATTCCAGTACTGTAATGGCAGCCTACAAAGAACCAACTCTGGAATATTCCAGTACTGTAATGGCAGTCTACAAAGAACCAACTCTGGAATATTCCAGTACTGTAATGGCAGCCTACAAATAACCAACTCTGGAATATTCCAGTACTGTAATGGCAGCCTACAAATAACCAACTCTGGAATAGTCCAGTACTGTAATGGCAGTCTACAAAGAACCAACTCTGGAATACTCCAGTACTGTAATGGCAGCCTACAAAAAAACAACTCTGGAATATTCCAGTACTGCGATGGCAGCCAAACCAGTGATTGCTGTAATGAATGTATGCGTTGGTATCAATGCTGCTGTAGCCCAAAGTGATGAAGGTCTAATATGTTTAACCCTTAGGTAAAACACAAAAGCATGGGTACGGTATCAGTATCTGGCAAGCAAACGAAATGCAAAGTGAATTCCAACGAATTTGATGACCGGGGCATTTCATAATCATTGACCCCTGTGCTTGAGGTACAAAACATCAGCCATGTCACTAAACTATGACAACCTGTACCGTGAAATTGCCTCATATTGGGGTTAAGTGGACCTGTGAATCAGAATTCCTTGTGGCTTGCTCCTACCACAAGTATGAAGTGGAGGCAGCCTAATTCAGACCAGGAATTCACTGTTGTAGTTAGTGAACGAGTTTATCTGTTCCAGTTAAATGATCTTTTGTTTCAAATACCATAGCAGAAAAACATGATTTCTAAACAGTGACGACATATATGAAACTTGTTTTGAACAAAACCGTACCAATAATTCTTCCTACACAGCTCTGGTCCACATACATTTCTGTCTTTTCTGAGCTTGAGCCCCACACCTTGTCTCCATTTTCTGGAATAACAGCATTTATAGTTCAAAAGTATTTGCACAAAGTGAAGACTAAGAATGGAGAAGCTATATTCAAAGGACAATAGCCGAGAATGTTTTCCATTATTTTCTCTTAGTCAGCTGAAACTTGGTCTCAAACATTCAGATAATCTTGTCATTCATTGAAATTATACTTATCTAAAAATTATTTTGAGTCAATTGAATGAAACACAGTACAACCAGAAATTATTGAGAATTTAAAGATTGTAAATGTTTTTATTTTTTTCCCTCATTACTCACGTATTAAATGTGAATATTAGCAGAACATAACTCCAGATTCAAAGACAGGTGAACAGTTAGTACTTTGTCAAGTCACCATGGGCAGCAATGCAGGCTTCAATACGGCGGGGCATACTACTGATCAAAGAAGTTAGAAAGTCGTGATCCACGCTGTCCCAATATCGGACCACCTCTTCTTCATTTCAGCAATATTTGTGAGATTTTTCTTATTGACACTTTCCTTCATAAGTCCCCAAACATTTTCTATTGGATTTAGGTCAGGGCTATAGCTTGGCCAATCTAATAATGTCATATTTTGGGTCCGAAACCAGGCCTGTGAATGCTTTGAACGATGTTTTGGGTCGTTGCCCTGCTGGAAAATCCAAACATTTCCATAGAACACGTGAGAAGATGGAAGTAAATGTCCCTCGAGAATATTTGTGTACCGCTCACTGCTCATATACCCTTCAAATACACAGAGGGGCGTTGCCCCTAACACAGATATGCCACCCCTCACGTTAAATTTCGGACTGTACTTTGGGCGCTGATACAAAGGTTTTTCAGTTTGTTTGGTCCAGAATTTCAGTGTATTAGGAAACAGACACACACAGAACTTTCATCTGAGAAAATCACATTGTCCGAAAGTTAAAATTTCTATGCTGTAAGCACCAGTTCAACCTTCGCTCCTTTTGTTCAGGTTTCATGATCGGTGATGGAATTCCGAGACTTTTCAGCCAACCCATTGCATGCAGCTCAGTTCTAATTGTCTCCTTACAGACAGCCACAGTTCCCCTATCAATCATATTCAGCCTTAAGTTTTCTTAACTCCTTTGTTTGTTTTTAGAAACAAGAATACCAAGCCGCCTCCTGTCACCGACAGTCAATTTTCTGGGCCTACCTGCGCCTCCCTGGTGCTCAATGCCATATCCATTTGCAATATTTTTCAAAACACGATAAACAGTGGACAAAGGGATGCCTGTTCTACTTGAAATCACTTTAGCTGATCTGATGTCCTTGTTATAATACTCTAAAATCAACTTCCTCTTCTCTAAATCATCCATACTGAGGATCACTGAAAATGTCCTCTGCTAGCAAGTAAACAAAGGGGGATAACTCTTCACAAACTAATGAAAAGGATTAACGGAGTTGTCTCTCTTGAATGAAACCAAGCACTTGATAGCTGGTCAAGGTTGTTTATACTAGAAATCCAATTAAACATATTCCTAAAATTCTCAATAATTTCTGGTCATACTATACCTTCATATGGAATGTCTGAGATGACCTGTATGACAATGAGAAAATATACAAAACATCAACTTCCGGAGTCAACTGACCTGCCGAAGACCCCCAACTGTCCTCGCTGCGCCCCCTGCCTGAGCGTCCTCTGCCCCCTCGGTTGTTGCCAGCAGACAAACCTGTGGAATATGTGGACTGTCTGTTGCTTAAAGCCATTGTTAGACATCTGCCACTTTGCTGATACCTATGATCAGGGATATGGCGATGACAAATCAAATCAAATCAAATTGTGAACTTTGCATATATATCCAAGATCATAGATTCTGGGCATGCCTTGGGGATGTAACTCTACTGTATACTACTGGCAGGATAAGTTGAGCACCAACCTGACAATTGACCCGTATTGGCATGTATGAGTCTCGCCCACTGATGCTTACCATTGTTAGCGAAGGGGACCCAGGTTGTGCGCGATCAAGTGTAGTGCAACTTGCTACACTGACGTGAGAGTCTTATGAGCTGAGCAAGGCATGTGAAGCTACGCGCTGAATCAAGTTCATCATCATGCAATGCACGTGCACTAGCCTACATCTGCTCTACCTTTCATAAACCAATTAGGTTTGCTCATTGCCGTGCAACGTCTACTTCTCGTAAACGCGTTCTCTGCGCCGGTCCAACTTATCCTTGTTTGCCAGTAATGACCTGTTCTGACTTGGAATGCCCACAGGGTCAGTTAATCATGTCCACAGGCATTCTAAAAAGCCTACAGCATGTACAGCATCCCAGCCACAATAAATGCCTTGCTTCACATTCCAGTTGTCAACTGTGGTGAAAGGTAAACCTACAAACCCACAAAACAGTATCGTCTCTTACCATTAAATGATTCTGTGAGTTCCTTGATCATGTCCTCTGCCTGTGTGCGAGCTTCATCACTGCCAGTTAGGACGACAAGTACCTGCCCATCTTCAGTCACATTTCTGTTCACCTGAGTTCAACAAAATTAAGGCTGCTACATACCTACACAAGACTTTTTGTGTGTGGTATGCATAACCACTTTTCAGTATGCTGTTGTAATTTCTTTCATTTATGGATAAACCTCAACAACAAAACCTACAAAACATCCCACATGGCTTTAGGGTAGCCTCGTGGTTAAAGTGTTTGCTTGTTACGCCCAGACTCGATTCCCCACATGGGTAAAATGCGTGAAGCCCATTTCTTGTGTCACCCGCTGCGATGTTGCTGGATATATTGCTAAAATCAGTGTAAAACTAAGCTCACTCACACACTAACATTCCACAAGTCCTGGCAGCATTTTTCTCCACATTAGTGTCTCATTGGAAGTAGAAAATCTACATATTTTATTGTCTGTCTATACTATCAGCCCAAAGACTGACTGACTGACTGAGTTGGGTTTTACGCCGCTTTTAGCAATATTCCAGCTACATCCTGGCGGGGGACACCAGAAATGGGCTTCACACATTGTACCCATGTGGGGATTCGAACCCGGGTCTTCGGCGTGACGAGCCAACACTCTAACCACTAGACTACCCCACCGCCCCTCAGCCCAAAGAACGTTGAACTGTTTACAAGTTACTAATCATTGTCTGTTTTAAATTAGGGTTCTATTATGTATTTGGTACACGAATGATCCTTAGTATACAATAACTACAAGTCATATAAACATAAATAAGAGGTGGATAAACACAGTTTACAGCTAATAAGATATCAAACACATCTGAGACTCCTGTACCTTGATGTTTGCTCCACTTGAATCTTGCAACTCTCGTATTTTCGATCCACCTCTCCCTTGGATAATGAATAAATAGGATAAATGTTGAAAATGAACATGTACATCCTATTTTTGTTAAAGGCAAATAGAGTCTGAATCTGACACTTCATATTTCAATGACCAAATAGAGGCAGACCAAAACTTTGAAATAAGCAAGTTTGTTAGTTGTATAACGCCGCACTCAGCAATATTCCAGCTATATGACGGCGGTCTTTATATAATCAAGTCTGGACCAGACAGTCCAGTGATCAACTGCATGAGCATTGAGCCTACGCAACTGGGATATGATGACACTTGCTGAAGGTAAATTCTAATCCTGATCATCAATAATATTTTTTGTTCAGAATAGAAGACATGTACAATGTAAATAAAGATGTCTAATGACTGGATACATATGAGTTTTCTGGGGGTTTTTATACATAAATACATCATTTACTCACACACCCATACTATAGTAATAAAGAAATAAATTCATTCACATTGTCAATAATGTTTACTCTTGAAAAAGATTTCATATGGTTTTTATTTGTGATCCACAATAATATAATAAATATACAAGTAAAGGTGTCACAGACCACAGACATGGGCGATCCAGGAATTTTGAAAGGGGGTCGAATCCCTGAACCCCACATTGGCTCCGCCAATGACAGACAGAATAGCATTTTGCTTGTTTTTGCTTCATAAGTTGTATGGTTGTGGGTGGGGGTGTTGTACACTGATTATGCCTGGGATGTGGGTATGGTACACTGAATTCATGGACATCAGGTTAAAGCATGGTGACTCTTTCATTGCATAATCATTCTTGACAATATTATCTTATGAATCTATCACGACAAACCTGTGCTGTTAGTACATTTTGTGTCAAACCAGTTAATTTATAGAGTAGGAAAACATTAAGGTAACACACGTACAAGCATATCAAAACAAATGTAGGCGATATTGGTCATTTGGGAACCATAATAGTAAATTTAGCGATTCGGAAAGAGTTCCTTCCATTCCCCAACACTAAACCTAACTCTAAACCTAACCCTAAACCTAACTTAAATTTTGGACTTTTAGTCATTTTTGTGAGTTCTCTAGTAATTGTTCTGATAAGTTTTGTTAATAATTTTAGTATACATTAATTTATAAATATTATTTGGGATGGGGGAACGGGAGGAACACTTACCTGTTTATTTTTCTGTTATTAACAGGCCTAATTATTTGAGGGTATATATCTGTGTGCAAAACATTAGCAGGATAGAAAAGCACTCTCTTACCAATGATTCTTCCAACGCAACTTTCCTCCACATACATTTTAGTTGTTTCATTCTCGAAGCTTGACTCTTGTTGCTCAGAATTCTGAGAACGCCAGTTGGAAGAATCTGACCTGTCCTTGTCATCAAACCCGCCGTCCCGTCTGAACCCCCCTCCCCCTCCCCGCCTTCCCCATCCTCTTCTACCCCGTTGACCAAACTCCATTTTCCCGCTATGTATGAAAAGAGGCAAGATTTTCACGTGGTTTCAATCTGTCAAATTTCGTTTGAAACAAGTCGTGATCTAATATGTGATATAGTTATACGTTCTGGTACACCATGTTCATCATATTATAAAACGTATGCAGCGGCATGAGAAATAACAGTTATTATTTATAAGATACCGAAACTGAAAGTTCCACTCCATCTCTTCTACATGCCCGCAAGGAATATAGTGAGCTCCATGCACAGTTTCAGTGAGGTGAGTTTGAAGGTGTGTCTTCGATTAGAGCAACCTACCATGCTTACAAGCTTCGTGCTAACTAAAAACCCTACCGTTTACATAATGGAGAATAATATGTTTCATTAAAAATACAGCTACCATAGGCGGGTTTATGTTAGTCTGTCTCACAGTCCCTGAACCACATTATTTCCCCTACTGCCAAGCCCTCCTTGCAATGTTAAAGCCCTTAATGAAGCAAGTCTAGATTTCCCCGGGTTCAGGGAACCAGCTCACTGGGGCTCCTTTTCAATTAAAATGTGTGTTTTTTGTTACCATCAAAATTATTCAAGGACTAAGCGTTAATCTATGTTTATTTCAGTTCATGTGGCACCATGTTATATAACAGAGTTGCTCTTGTGGGATTATGAATTCACGGAAAAGTTTAATCAGAGACCATATATATACCGATATGGTATATGGTCTCTGGTTTATGAACATATTTTCAGTCTATATCTTTTTGTTGCAATGGGATTGTGGTTGGTTTTTATTTGCTTGTTTTTTTGTTGTTTTTGTTGTATATTTTTATCAAAATAACCTTCAGGTTGGGTCGGGGTGCGTTAAACATTGTAATATCCCTATGATATAACAACCCTAAAGAGGTGGCCACACTTGGTCTCTGCATAAACCTGTGTTTTCACAGATTTGGGAGATTTAGAATCCGGGAATATCTAGACTTGCTCTCTTTATATTTATAATATTGCGTTTAGGGTTCTGTGAATGTTCAGGGACAGGGGACAGACTATGGCAATGTAACTTAACCATGTTCTTAATACACCCGTTGATATCAGCTTTCATTGTTTAGGACAACTTACGATAAGTTTTGAGAATTTTCGAATTGCTCTGAAACTGTTAGAAGTGTGCTAGTAGACGGGACATGCGCCTGCATATACTTCGGGTCGATTCAACGAATGGGTGTAATGTATGTAGTCTTGTAGGGTGTATTTAGGACTGGTCGGTGTTATCATTATTGTCACAGGAAATCATTTTCAAATGATTTTATGACACTAAGTTAAACATTGCGTCATGTTTTAAAATTGATTCTGTTCTACAGGATGCTTATTTAATTTCAGTTGGGCATTCACAACCCCGTTAAAGGTGGATTTTCCACTGATTAAGTTAAAGCTTTCAATCTCCCAAACACCTTCAGTTAATTCTTCATGCTGCTAGCTGCATTAAACGGGTTTTTTTAATTTAAATATGTTTTCTACTAAACTGACGTGCAGTATGCGACATCCCATGGAGTCACGGAGACATTGAACATTACATGATGTCAACTACGGATATACCGAACTCAAAAGGCGCCACTAATTCTATTTCGTTATAACCGCAGTTCTCTATACACATTACGACTGTCAGACATCTTTTATCAAATCATGTTACCGCGCCATGTGAATAAAAAGAATTAGGAAAGTTTGCATTGAACTAAGCTTATACTTCTCACACACGAGTAATGTACATTATGAATGGATCATTGAGACTGTTTCGTTGACATACATGTGTCGAACGTCACTACCTAAAGCGTTCTACTTACGATGTGCGTTTGCAATCAGAACTATTCCATCAATGATATCCTACATTCCAGTCGTCGCTATTATAGATCGAATATGTCCACCTCAGATGCTAGGGCGGTGGGGTGGCCTAGTGGTTAACGCGTTCGCTCGTCACGCCGAAGACCCGGGTTCGATTGCCATATGGGTACAATGTGTGGAGCCTATTTCTGGTGTCCCCGCCGTGATTGTGCTGGAATATTGCTAAAAGCGGCGTAAAACGAAACTCATTCACTCAGATGCTACAGCCTAATCACTGTCTGCTGAAGTTCTTGAGCGAAAATTTATTAAAAGGTTGGTTTTTTTCGTATGTTATTAATGGAATAACTGTGCTAATTTCATGAGTAAAACACAACTTCGACTTGTGCAGAGGTTAGACACAAATTCTTATATCTGTGCGCTTTTTTGAAAGGTCGTATCCGTTATTCCAGAGACTGCAATGGTCCAATCGAATAGAGCATACCACACAAAGGTGAAGGTTATCAAAGATGGCTGACTCTGAAAGCACGAACTGGAATGTTGATATGGAAGTGAATTTATTTCACGCAATGAGACGACATAAGCCAGCTGGTAGGTATATATGACAAGATGAGAGTGTGTCTGTGTCCTACGACACAACTGAATAGCCCTGATATTTCTTAAAGTTCTTCATTTTCGATTCTTTGTTTTCATCGTCAGGGGCCGGTAGGATAGTCCCTAGAAATCAATGTCCCACCGTGTTGGGGAGCTTATTGGAGGTAGCATCTTTGGTTGGAATTTTTGGAATTTGTTTATTCAAGTGGTGACATCTGAGGCGGTGAATATATCCAGTCTGTTTGTGCAGTTTTTGTGGCATTACACTTAATTTACAGCCATGGTGATTCACTGTCCAGCTCATGACTTACAGACCCGTGCAAAATGTATTCGGACACTTGACGTAATTTCCTTAGACTTACATGTTATTTCAGTGCAGCATAAATAATTTTCATGAAGTGAGTTTAGGATGGATCTTTGTGAAATTTGACAGGCAATTTTGAAATCATCTCTGCTCTGTGCACAAACTTTCAGTTCAATTTTCCGACTACTATTTAACTGATGACATCACATTTATAAACTTAGGTATGGTTCCACAATGCACAATCCCATAGGCTGCCATGTTAAGGGAGTTAACCGCACTGTACACATGTAGATTAAATTGTTGCCATTCGATAAATAAGCATCGGAAAATTAAACAGAAATTATGTGATTGTTGGTAAGATGATTCCTCACAAATGTGAAAAATTTGACTGGGATCTTACGAATTTTTTTGGCACGACTCTGTATGCCTCAATGCAGAGTCGGAAATCACGTGCAATGCAATCAGAGGACCTTTCCTGTTACTAGAAATTTCCATTTATGTAAATACGAAGTCATTACCATCAGCATGTGACACTCAAAATACCATGTCAACTTATCCTAATTTTAATACACAATTGTACAGGTTACAATTGGTCTTCAGCAACCAATGCTTGTTGTAAGAGGCGACTAATGGGATCGGGTGGTCAAGCTTGCTGACTTGGTTGACACATGTCACAGTATCCCAAATGCATAGATCAATGCTGATCACTGGATTATCTAGTCCAGACTCTGTTATTTACAGACCATAGGAATATTTCTGAGTGTGTTGTTAAACAATAAACAATACTGAACATCTTCAATTCATTAATGTTTTTAATCTTCATTAATAAATTTTTTTCAAAATTCTGTCTATATGGTCAATGATAAATTCAGCAAAATCATGTTTGAATTGTTGGTAGTGAACCAACTCACTGTTATTTACAGCAACCATAGTGAGGCCTTGAAAGTAACTTTTTCACATTTTTCAGTCCTGCCTTATTTTGGTTCATTGCAAGTCATATTTGTCAAAATTTGACTATAATATGTCAACATAACGTTTTCACGATGGAGAGTGAGGAAGCCTCATCAGGGACTTGTCATTAACTAAAATAATGTAATATTGAAATATATTAATCATGATAAACTATAAGTTTCAGATATAAGTCTTCTGATCATAGCATAACAATTATTTAAAGTTATTTTATTAGGCATTGTTTTAAGCACATTGTTTTAACCACAGGTACTGGGATCAAGTGGTAATCTTGATCTTTGCATATAAAACAATGCCAGCAGATGAGGAGGTATCATTCAAAGTGAAAATCATTACCGGTATGTCTAGAAATGTTTTATCTCAAAATTCCCTTGGCATCTGGGCAACATAACCATGGTTATACTTATGTGAATACTTACTCTTTATCAGGACCCAGGTGTTCAGTCGTATTGCACCATGTAGGATTATTATGCACCATAAGGGCCCCTTATATTATTTTCAATGCACCATTTCATATTTCAATGTGTGTATGGGGCACTGTCCAAATTAATCCTTGATCATGTTGATAGAGGTATACTTTACCAGGGTAGCGTGCATCAGCTTTTGTGTAGGTGGTAATGCAAAATCCTGGGTATGGGTGGGTGTAAGATTCACTAACCACTCATGCCAAGCATCATGCAGGCACAGGAGCAATGATCTATGGCTTAGTCTGGTTGTCTAGCATTGCCACATACTGTTTGAGAGGCATTCTAGAACTTGTAAGTAATAGGAATGACAATTCTTTATGGATGATCAACTTGGATGGCTGATTTATTGTACAAATAGTAACGTTTCGTATACATTCTTATACCGTTTTGAAGCATGCCACATAGGGCTCATAAGCTGCTGTAAGACGATTTGCCAGCGGGTAACATGAGACTGGGTGCCCACCTGTAACATGTGTAAGGACGTCTGACCTAAACTGTGAGACATTTACAGTATTATGCATATTGTACTTAATTTCTTCAGTCTAAACAAGCAGACAAAAAAAGAGTGGTGGATGCCCATCAGATGTCTTTGTCTAGAAATATCCGGGATGGTTATAGTCTGATTTTAAGATAGACTATTCCAGCAGTGTCATGAGTGAGTGAGTGAGTTAAGTTTTATGCCGCACGCAGCAATATTCCAGCTATATGGCGGCGGTCTGTAAATAATCAAGTCTGATCAACAGTGATCAACAGCATGAGCATCGACCTGCGCAATTGGGAACCGATGACATGTGTCAACCAAGCCAGCGAGCCTGACCACCGGATCCCGTTAGTCACCTCTTACAACATGCATGGGTAACTGAAGGTTCATTCTAACCCGGACCTTCACGGGTTAGCAGTGTAATGATGTGGCAAATGTGTAAAATTTCTGTGTGATGCCACTTATTATAGCCTGAATTAAATGTTTTGTTCACAATCATGATGCAACCTGCCTTGTTTTAGTCTTGAGTTAGCACTGCCTTCTAAAAAACATGGGATACAAGGATACTAAGGTAGGAGTGGCATTTGCATTTGTCATTTGATTCATTTTCAACTAGAATTGTTGGTTAAATAAGAACAAATTTTAAGTTTGGAAAGCACACTTTTTCAGATTTCAGTTTGTACAGTGTGGAGGATCAAACCCAGTTGAAGCTAAGCTAATGAATTAATCTATTTAGCCAACACCCTACCAGTGGATGACAGGTGTTATCACAAATTCATTTACAAGCCATGAGAGCATGATCAAAAACATGTCTGTACACATGCAGTAGCCATTTACTCTGAGAAACTCGGAACTCTTCAAACTGCATTGGAATTAATTGTTGAAAGAGGTAGGTCACCCATACCCTTCACCACAGCTATCCTTTTGGATTGTCAAGGCCGATCTATTAAAAAAACACCTCTAAGGATCATAAAGGGGTGTTTGATTGAAAGGGGTACCTAACCCTAATGATCATTAAGGGGTGCTAAAAGGGATGGAGTTGTATGTAATAATAATTATAATAATATGGACATTTGTAGAACGCAGTAGTAACTCCACACCTCAAGGGCATGCTCTTTGCGCAACAGTAAATATGTACACTATATACAGGAAGAAGTGTTATAAGATTTAATGGTGGTTGAACAAGAATATTTTGAGTCTTGATTTAAAGATGGAGATGGAAGGAGATGACTTGACATGGAGAGGTAGTGAGTTCCAGAGGGAAGCTGCGTGAACGCTGAAAGATCTGCCGCCAAAAGTTTGCAACTTGTATTTTGGGACACTGAGAAGACCTTTGTCTTGAGATCTGAGAGACCGCGCGCTGGAGTGTAGGGTGTTATAAGATCTTGCATGTAGGAGGGCGATGGACAGTTTAGTGCTGAATATACAAGAGACAGCGTTTTGAATTTTATTCTTTCGCGAGTTGCAAGCCAATGGAGTGACTTTAGTATGGGAGATATGTGACATCTGGATTTGGTTCTAGTGACAAGTCTTGCTGCGCTGTTCGGGATCTTCTGAAGTCTGTCTAGTTGTTCAGAAGTGATGCCTGCACAAAGACTATTGTAGCCTACACTAACCCTGACACAAGTAACCCTTAGGATCAAAGTGGTGCACAAAATCTGTGAAGCAAGATCCAGAGTTGGCAGATAGTGCCAATTAGCGCATCTGAGGAAGTGAAATGAACTGCTTCAAGTGACCACATGAAAACGTTTCATAACGTTTGACAGAAGACATATTTTATTTCTTGTTTTGGACATGTTAAAGGATGTGGGAATAAGGGAACATTCAAATTTCCATGCTATTCTGTTACATGCATCATGTTGAAGGATGACATGAAATCGTTTGTGTTTTTCTCATGTATTTACAATTATTTGATGATACCAGATCCATGTCATTTGGTAAAACAGTTATGTATAGATTAATGAACTTTCTTCTGTCTGTATTTCAGGTGTAAATAGGTATTTCCAAATGATGTTTATCCATGATAAGCTGAACAACGCCAGCAGCCGGAAGATCTCCTCCAAGCACATATGGAAACATCTTACAGAGATGTATGATTTACAGGCATTGGTCAGTACTGCAGTACTTACATTTTCAAGAAATATAACGCTTGATTCATGGAATATCATTTAATCCAAATTCAGTAGTGTTGCAACCAGTAATGAAGAATCTTGAATTGGGAAGTTTCATGGTATTCATAGTTACATGTTACATGTATTTGGAAATGTTTGGGTTAAATTATTTTTATTGGAAAATATAGGCAAATTCTGCAGTTTCTCTACATGCAGTTAATTGCTGCTTGCTGACTGCTGAGTATGTTTCATTATACCCTAGGACGGCCTCCATGGTGTAGTGGTTAGAGCTTCCGCCCGGAGAGACCGGAAGGTCACGGGTTCGATCCCCGACCATGTCATACCATAAAATATGGTACTTGTTGGTCCCTGCCTAGCGCTCGGCATTAATGAGTACAACAAGGACTGGTCGGCTTGGAGTCAGTATAATGTGTCTGAGTGGGGTATTCATGCTTCACTGCGGCATGGTATCTCAGTGGGCTAGCACTATAAAACCAGCTTAAGTCTGGGCTAGTACAAGCAGCCGCACATCCACACACACACGCATGCAAGTCGTCATATGAGCGAAATATTCTCAAGCATGACGTTAAATCCAATTTCACCTCACCTCCTCACCTCATTATACCCTAGCCACTGGATGTTGCTCAATGTCCAGGTACTGATTTGGCTTGACTGTGGCATCAAACAAAAACCAAGCAATTGTTAGCATGGTTGGTGAACTGACCAAATCCCAGGTCTAGTCAACTGCGGTTCACAGATTTGTTTTGTCAGTGTCACTGTTAGAGTTTGGTGGAGGAAACTGAAATTTAACAAAGAAAAGTTGGCAGCAGCTTCTTTCTTTTTCTGGATCAGAGATTTGCTGTATTAATATCAAGTGGAGGAAAAAGAAATAAATGAAAATCCCATCTTTAATGTCATGTTCTGCGGAAAGCTTATATTTTTGTTTTTCTTAGAAGTTTGAATGTACATGGGACTGAATTCTAGATTTATTATACAAGCAATTGAACCTGCTGACTGAAGGTTTTCACAAAGTATTTTTGTGGAATTTATAGATGACTGTATTTAGATAATAGCGTAGTGAATATGCCTAGATTAATATTAGACTCCATGGTATGTTATATATAAAGTAGCCATGTTGCTACAAACATGGTTCATGTATGTACAATGTATTTATTTTTATGATACCATACCTTTTCATTTTCTCTGTTTGTTTTTGTTTTTGGCAGAATGAATCTGAGATTATTCCCTTCCCAAACAAGGAGGTAGAGTTCCTGCTACCTGAAGTCGACTACCATTCTCTAATGGATAAGCCCTACCCGAGGATTGAACAGGCATCCGTCAATGCTGAGGGAGAAAAAACAGAAGGTACACTACCATCTCACTTGTCTTTAGAATGTATCAATTCACCGAGTAGTATACTCTGTGGCCCTGGGGGCGGTGGGGTAGCCTAGTTGTTTAAGCATTCGCTTGTCACGCCTAAGGCCCAGGTTCGATTACCCACATGGGTACAATGTGTGAAGCCCATTTCTGGTGTCCCCTGTTGTGATATAGCTGGAATATTGCTGCTAAAGGCAGCGTAAAACTCCACTCACTCACTCACTCTCTCTCACTCTCTCGTGATATAGCTGGAATATTGCTGCTAAAGGCAGTGTAAAACTCCACTCTCTCTCTCTCTCTCGTGATATAGCTGGAATATTGCTGCTAAAGGCAGCGTAAAACTCCACTCTCTCTCTCTCTTTCTCTCTCTCTCTCTCTCTCTCTCTCTCTTGCCTCTCCAGATACAAGCATCACATGGTTCATCCCCATACTTACTGACTTTAAGTATGTTTATTGTTAGATACAACTTCTGCTAAAATTATGCAATGATAAGACCACAAGTGTCTACAGAGTTATGTCCCTTGGGACCTGTGAACATTCTGAACACCCAACATATGACCAACATAGTCAAGTCAAACAGCTTGGCAACTAAATGTCTTATACCATGACAACCATACCTTTTTTAAAACCTTACTGAGGCCTGAATGATGTAACCTGATCAAACAAGGGTTTCATGATCCTCTTGGAAAATCTTGACTCTGAAATGTAGAAAGCTGAGAATGGAGATGCTGAAATAATGCCGGACATGAGGGGTTAGTTCACTGTTGGAAACTTGAAGTCACCGCTCTTGTCAGTCGTGTAGGGATTTGACACCATCCATCACAGTTTTTGCATATATCTAGGTATGAAATAGATGAGACAGTCTCACTGGTCGGTGAGTGGTCGCTGTCATTTCGTGTTGGGCACTGGACTGAGTTACTGTGCTTTAGAAACAAATTTTAAATACATTTCTGAAGAAAAAACAAGGTTAACTGTACTGAAACAATAGTGTTTTGGGGTATTTGTTTTTATCACAAAATTTCCACAGAGTTCTGAGAACTGAGATGAGAATACTTTTCATTATTTCACAAAATTCAACTTGGGCAAGAGATAGGAAACATTAGAAGATTCCAACCCGTGAAGGTCCGGGTTAGAATATTGATCTTCAGTAACCCATGCTTGTCTTAAGATGCACTAACGGGATCGGGTGGTCAGGCTCGCTGACTCGGTTGACACATGTCATTGGTTCCCAATTGTGCAGATCGATGCTCATGCTGTTGATCACTGGATTGTCTGGTCCAGACTCGATTATTTACAGACCACCGCCATATAGCTGGAATATTGCTGAGTGCGGCGTAAACCTAAACTCACTCACTCACTTAAAAGATTCCAACAGCCTTACATTCACTTGCTGAATACCATTTGAGTTACCTCCTCTTACCTCAGCATTGTTTTTATCTTTATTGATGTGGAAAGTGTAGAACAGTGCTGACATGTTTTGTTATACATTCTAGGTAAAGGATCAAAGTATGATGGGAAAGGAAGCGGCTCCTCGAATGATAAAAGTAAATATGACAAATCCACTAACAGAGGCGAAACAAAAGGCTCTTCAACCCCACATTCTAAAGAGAGTAAAAGTGATAGTAAAGGCACATCAACTCCTCATGGGAAAGATAGCAAAGGTGACAATAAATCAGGAAAAGATTCCAAAAGTGACTCTAAAGGTTCCTCTACACCTCATGGTAAAGAAGGCAAGGGGGAGGGAAAAGCCTCCTCCACCCCCCACAGTACAAAGGGAAGTAAGTCTGGGGTGTCTGGGTCGGGCGGCACATCTGCATCCAGCACTCCAGAATCAACACCCAAGAGGAAACGCACACGACAAGCCAATTCCACTAATGCGAGTCCAGCCACTCCATCAGATTCACAGCCCACTAAGAGAGGCAGAAGGTGATAGCTGGAAGCTCATGTTGGTGACAGTGATTGTGAATATTCAAATAACACTCTGCAGCAATATGACTAAAAACAGTTTTTTAACTGAACTTTAAGTGACAAGAGCTGAGTTCCCCTTGTGGGTTCGAGAGGTAAAAAGAGTCCTCTTGATCTCCTAATCAGGTTCATTCGTTCATATTAAAGAATGGGCCCTGTGACCGTCATACTGCAAGGTATTCTTTTTTTGAAACTGGACCCAAGTCCCAAATCATGTTTCCTTACAGGGGAATATAGATCCCAAGATACGCACCTCACCATACTCTGTGAAGGATGAACCATGCATGCAGCATGTACAATGATATGAATTGACTGTTTTGTACCCATGTCAGGTTATTGGTCACCTAGTGTCCACTTTGGTGGTCTAGTGGCAGTGTTCACAAATGGTGTTTCAAAGTAACAGGACATTGGGTCCTGTAAGTTTCGGATGTCTGTCTGACCCATTGAAAATTCACATGACCCATAGAATAAAATTAAACACACATTACAGATTTAACATTTCTTATAATTGGCATTGAAATTATTAACAAGCATACGATTTATAAACAGCAAACAAGTGTCACTTGTCACATATAACAACTTCAGTCAAAGTCATTGTGAAATATACAGTCAGACACTGGGGCCGGCGGGTTGTACAGTTCTATCGGACCATTGGCGAATCTGCCGGATTTGTCAGAGGGTCACGCACTATTCGTAAACACTGCTAGTGGATGAAGCTTCTGCTTGGAGAAGAATAATGACACTTTTTATGGATATACAACTTCTTTTATTCTGTGGAGGCGACGTTTCGAGATATATTCTAATGTTGTTGTCAAGCAAGTGATTCTTGACAACAACATTAGAATCTATGTCGAAACGTCGCCTCCACAGAATAAAAGAAGTTGTATATCCATAAAAAGTGTCATTATTCTTCATCAACTCACTTCTAAAATGTCCATCAAAGACGTCTGCTTGGAGTGTGAAAGGTCAGTGGTTCAATCCCCAGGTGCATCATACCAACAGATATTCTTCAAAGATTTGTTTTTCTGTCATATGCAATGTATTCCTGTCTAGTGCATGTCACTAATGGGAGGATCCATTGATGATGGGATTGAATCCAAAAGTGGCAAGCATCTGCAACACACATCATTTTGGACTTTCCTTCCAGATTTGACTGACATGCTGTTATGCAAACAGGTAGTGTTATAAAACTGTCAATGTGTTACCTGATGTAGGTGTACAGTACCTACTGAGTCCCCATCTTTAGACAGAGCCCCTGTAGTGTTTCTGGGTTAAAAGGCGTCTGGAGGAGTCACTGCTGGTGGTAAAGGGCTACTTGTTTTCATCTGGTGGTCATTACTGGAGACTTGTTTGGTGGTGTCATTGCTCACAATGTCACTGTATAGTCTTGTCTGGACTTGATCTTTAATGCGCCACCATTAAACAGCTCCAGAGAAAATATGTTGACAATAAAGAAATGACTGTGCATGACTATACATGGCTATAGCAGTTGGAGTCTATTTGCATTGATCACATAATTTGCAGATTTGCCATCTTGACCTAAAATTTCAATATGCTTGAAACTTTCATGTATGATTTGAAATATCTGAATGACTGGTATGGAATAAAGAAATATTTTGTCATTTGGAATCATCATCTTTTGTTGTAGCATTCATAATTTTGACCTACGGGCTGAAACCACTTGATTTCGGGACAGCTACCCATGGTCAGAAATATCAAGGTGATAACTATTTGTGTCTGATGGAACAGATCAGCTGTGAACATTGTTTAAAGCATTAAAGGCTTTGACAAGTAATGAGGTACATTTGTATATTCATGAGGATGACACTAGTGTGTCATACCTGGTGACAGGAGACAGTCACCAGCAGAGGAAGAGGGGGTGGTGTCACAACAATATTGGGTGTAACATCTATTTGCTGTGATAAGGATGAGTGAGTTTGGTTTTGCGCTGCTTTTAGCGATATTCCAGCAATATCACGGCGGTGAAGACACCAGAAATGCAGTCTAAGTAAACTTAGGCTCAGTATTATTATACTAGCAGTGTAACGAATAATATTGAGCCAAAGTTTACTTAGACTGCCAGAAATGGGCTTCGCACAATGTAACCATGTGGGGAATTGAACCCGGGTCTTCGGTGTGATGTGCAAATGCTCTAACCACTAGGCTACCCCACTGCCCCTGATAATGATGAGGCACTGATGGCACAGATTAGACACCAGGTGATTGAAACGGGACTTGTAGGTGCTGTTCAAAATGAACCAAGGATTGGCATATATGAGCTGGCATTACCTGTTGGTTCTGTTCCTATTGTAGGGGGATGTTCCATCTCATCTTTAATTCATTTCGTGATATGAATTCTATTGCAGATGTCTATCATTCTCTGTTAGAGATATATTTAATTAATATATGATATGTTCAATTAATTTCAAGATATTATGAATTTAATTCAAGATGCTCTTAAAACAAATAAAGATATCAGTAATTTCGAATGTGAAAACGGCTTTCCATAATATTGTGAAAAGAATTGATTGATGTGTTAAATTGAATCAATGATATCAGAATAAGATTTAAAGACATAAACAAATTCATGTTTTCAATGGTATTAGTAATTAAGTACCTGTTATTTTGCAGTTAAATACAGATAAAAGAATTGATGTGTTAAATTGGATTAATGATATCAGAATAAGTTTAAAGACATAAACAAATTCATGGTTTTAATGGTATTAGTAATTAAGTACATGTTATTTTGCAGGTAAGTACAGATAACATTCATTATTCATTGATATCTTCAATGGGTGATATTTTTTGTGACTGGAATAATTTGTTTGCCTGGTTTCCAATTACTAATATTACAGATATTTAGATATCTTCAAACAAATTTCATTAACAAGTCAGCATATCTTGAATATGATTAAATAATAATTGATATGATGAATGATATCTCTAATTGAATTAAAGATATCTTTCAATGAGTAGATAATATCTACAATGTACAGTTTGATTGTAATTGTTTTATTGATATCTCAAACACAGAGATATCATGGAATAAGAGAAGAATTCAAGGTTTTACACAGATTTTGAAAAAAGAGAGTATTTACGGTATTTATTTTTGGGAGTCATTTTCAATATTTGGGAGTCATGAAATATTTTGTGTACTATTTCTTTATGTATATCAAAAAGCAATGGTTTTGCAGAGATTTTGTTGTTTTGTGTTGTATTGTCATTTCTATGTTAGTTAATAAATAGTATATTTTTCACTGTTCAATTCAGTAATAACAAACTTCAGTATACTGAACAAATAAATAATCATGCTTGTGATTTAGTCACTGTAAGATAACATGAACTGAAAGAAATATCGAAATTAATGAAGAAAAACTATCATTGTTTGCTTATCAAATCGATTTTATTGAACTGTATTCTGAGAGTCAGTGATAACACTTGCGTCAAGCTCGACTCGTATGATAATATTTTGAAAGTCATTTACAAAATTGTTGCGTCAAATGCAGGAATCAGGTGTCATGTAACATCCTGAGAATTCTTATTGGACAGATCCTGATGTCTTCTAGTCGTTAAAACTATCAACAGGAAAAGTTCGAAAATATGCTAGACTAAGTCTCTGATCTTGATGGTGGACAGAATCAAGAAGTTTATGGTAGCGTTTAAGTCCACCATAGACGATGGACCCATAAGCGAGCTTAGAACGGATGAGTGTTCTATGTAAATGTAGATTGGTTCCCTGCCCAACTCGAGAAGGCGCAACTTGTATTATATTAAGCGCCTTCAGGCATTTATTCTCTAAATAGTTTATATGTGGCCGAAGGGTCAAACGGAGATCGAAAAGTATTACCAAAAACGTGGCCTCCTTCACAATTTTAATAGGAGTACACACTAAAATTAACCCCGGCCGTCGACAAGAAATAGTAAAGTCATCCACCAACAGCGAACGATCAACTGAATCGTTTAACACTTTTGATAAACTATCGATTTTTTATGCTAAATAATGTGACAGACAAAATACCGCCTTGGGGGACACCCTGATCCTGATTATAATGATCAGACAGGTTGGAACCCCTGCGGACTGCCTGTCGTTTGAAAATTTGGATATGAATAGAAGTAGGCGGCCATGCATGTAGTCAAAAGTCATGTAAATCTTTAAAAATCCCGCATTTCCATGTAATGATTCTACACGCACTAAATGATGAATGGTACTTCACAGAAACTACATTGTACATCAGTATAAGTAGATTGTTGGTTTCCTAGTACCAAACTAATCGATTATATTGATCGTGCGTTCGATAATTTTGCTAACGCGGCTTGTTAGTAAAATTGGTCGATAATTTGAAGGATCGATATGATCACGTCCAGGCTTAGGTACAGGAACAGTTACAGCATCAAGCCATGACAAAGGCATTTTCCTTGACGCCCAAATGTAATCAACAATATATGAAAAGGGCCTCCAAACATGATTCTGGTAAATGCTACAGGACCTCATAATATATGAGGGGCGGTGGGGTAGCCTAGTGGTTAAAGCGTTGGCTCGTCACGCCGAAGACCCGGGTTCGAATGTGTGAAGCCCATTTCTGGTGTCCCCCGCCGTGAAGTTGCTGGAATATTGCTAAAAGCGGCGTAAAACCAAACTCAGTCAGTCAGTCATAATGTATGATTTGCTCCTTTAGCAGGATTGTGAGCTTGTTCAAGAGCAGTATATAGATAGAATACAAGATATTTCATTGTCATCTTGTCTTTTGTCTGAATTGAAATTTATAGTTTTCTCTTCTTGGTGATTTTCAGGAGGAATAATGTTTTTCCAAAGTTTCACCAAGTCTATCAACAATATTATAGTTACTAACTGGTCTACGTCTTTAAGATGTTTAATGCCAGATTTAGAGCCCTTATACCTTTGATTTTATGGACCATATTCCATACCGTTTATGTCGACGTTCGTGAAATGAGTTTGGATGCATATTTTCGCCGTGCTTAAGCATTGAACATTTGGGATGGCGACGGAAATAATGATCAGCCTCTTTCTTTGCCTTACTAGCGTGTTTGCAGTCATCATTAAACGGTGGTTTCCACAAGAAATTTCAGATGACCAATACACACGTCAGCTATGTTATGTACTTCATCAGAAAAACAACATTTTATAACATTACTAACGTCTTTAAAGAGTTCACGAGTAAGTCTGTTACGACACAGTGTTTCTTACATTTGCCACTAAGCCCATGCGGAAAGTTTTAGAAGTTATGCTATATATATTCAGAGATGTGAGATAGCAAAGGCTTATGGACAAGTGATTAAAACGGTGAAGGAATGCACCAGATCCGATTGTCAGGCTCGTTGTCGTCGTCGTTTCCAACTGTGTGGACCGAT